TATGTAGTCCATTTATTCTCTTGTAAGCTTTCCGTAAATGGCAGAGAGCTACTTTTCTTGAATACAGATGTTTTGTTATACATTAAAAGATCTTTGGTTTGGTAGTTATCAAGCATCTCTATCATTTCTATGACCAAGAAAATCCCACATGATTACACCAATCATAAGTGGATTAGTGCTAAATCATTATAAAAAAGCAACTTGGTTTTGCATCTTTCAAACATTCCAAGTTAATCCATGGTTTTGAAATGTTAAAATAATCCGTTAAATAAATAAATAGAACCTATTATTATTCCTATATTGTTTACTTAATTCTATTAACTGTTATTTGATATTAGTTGTATGTTGTTATACAAACATATTTGTATTGTGAAAGTTTATGAAAATATACATAGAGGTGACATCACCTTAAAGTAAAAGCTATCACTTGAACTTCAAAACTAATGATAATTCTTTCGTGATTTAGATCATTTTATCAGGACGCTTATTCATCCAATAAATCCTACAGGATTGATCATAGTTATTGGTATATTGAAATCTTTTACTTCAAAGAATCAAATTTTATTGATTACTTCTCAGTTAACACATATATCTTACATGCAAATACTTTTTGCTTAATTTTTCACTAGTTTATAACGTCTACATAAACGACTGTTTGTTATTTGTTTCTAATTATAGAGACTCAATAGATAGTAATTGATGTATCACATAATGATTGAGTTAATTAGACTATAATCTACTGACGAGATTAATATTTTTACTAGTCATAACAATACTTTCTACTATTAAATTAGCATTGCTTTGTTATGATAAATCATATATGTATATCATCAAGTGTAATGTATATGTTGAGTCGACTTTCGGAGGACTTCAACGGAGCCTCCAGAGGCCTAAAAGAAGCCGAAGTGTTCTAGCCAATCAGAGTATGATGGAACATTCGAGAATCCCAACATGGCGTGTTACTATTGGTCGGTAGTATAATATGTCGTTAACGGATTGGCTGAAATATGATGTTGATTTAACAGACGCCAACATTTATAAATACTCATGATTTTCCGTACAAAAATGAACTTTGGGATAAAGTATTTTCTCTCATACTTGGGTATTCTCTCTGGTGTTGAAGTCGTTGTGTAGTTCTAGTCTGCGGGTTACCAGAATAGCTTAGGAAAACGAATATAGCGTTCGATCGACAAGACTTATCAGTATAACTTCTTTTATGTTTTTGTGTATGAGTATGTAGGTATTATTTGAGTAAAGTTACTCTTTTCAATCCTTTCATGAATGTTTATTGTTCAAGATGAGGTCATTATTATTCATATATTCATTTTCTCTAATAATTATCTTTCCTCGATTTATCACTTCCATAGTATGTTTTCTCATTGACTGTATTAGCTTATTCGGCGAGACTGATTTATGGATGACCTCTGAACGAATCTTAAGTGACCTTGAAAACTATTAGCCAATCAGAAGACAGTTAGTCCGAAGTAAAAATATATTATAAAAAACTAAAGAATTGAAGTGGATATTCTTCTTGTACACGATTCAAAAACTTATTAAGGTTTGAAAGAGGTTCTGAAATCACAGTGCATACGGTATAGGAACTCATCCATATGGCTCCATAACAGTCGACCTATGCAACCGTGATTAAGTCTTAAAATATCCTTTAGCCTGGACCATATGGCTCCAAAATTACTAGTGTGAACACAGGTCGTAGGGTCGACAAAATGGCGCTTGTGCACAACAACATGATGCACATACCCAAGTCTATGTAGGCATATATACGCTCTCCAATCATCTGTATATATCGTAGTGCACGGCTGCACATATTCCAGTATAACTGATATTATCGGGGTTGCTTGCCGGTTTCTAACCCTTTGCAAATGTGTCTTTTGCGTTGATTGGTGATAAATTCCAAGTACCTGTGAGGTATATTTACGGAAGTGCTACTTACCTAGTCTTTCCTTATATTAGGTCCTCTGTTATATTTCCGCTTCTGTACTACTGTTTCATCTATTTCAACAATACTCCCAACTTCTCAGTACGACTCGTGTAAACGCGTCATTTTAATTGCACATATATCTCTGCAATACTCATACCATTAGATAGCTGAAGTCTCAGTAACGTGTGCAAATGCTGCACCCAGTGTTACGGGTGCTTTTATTAGCCAATTGGCGACAATTATCGTGATTTGTCTCAGTCTCAATGGCGATCGAGCGAAGAAAGTGCCCGTTCGAGCAGACTTCTTTCTACAACATAAAGAATATCGAAAGACAATGTCATCACGATAGGCTGAACACAGTACTGAAGTCATTTCATTGCCGCAGTCACAAATGAAGGAACTTCGTAGTAATCACGTCTTCTCTAAAATCTGCTGCAAACCGATCGTACGTGAGCATCAGGTACTAAAATTGGCTTCGTGACCTTGAAATCCCCCAAACGCTTCTTCTTGGCTCGTCCATAAATTAGAGTCTCGCCGTTTATTCTAGTAAACAAAATATTTTGGTGGTTGACATATTGATTCATTGTGCCTGATTATTACTATTTAACTGGGGTGAATTGATTTATCCCTTAACGATGGAAATAAGTTACAAGCATGTTAACGGCATCTTTTCTTTTTGACAAGTTATTATTATTATTATTCATAAACAAGTTATTGATGGATAAGTGTTGTAAATAAACAATTTCGGATTTCCTCCCAAATACAAGTATACACAAGAGTTTCAACAATGTTTACGTAATATTCACAATATGTTTACAGGTTCTATAATATTTAGAAGAATATTAATTTGTCGTCGAAAAGTATGTGTAATAACTATGTTTGTCAAAGAGAATGAGGATAGACAGTTATATATATATATATTACACATAGAATTTAAAAGAAATTATCATCATTGTATGAATTGATAGTGGAATAAAAGTCAGAGCAGTAACAATTTAGAATGATACAGTGAAACTCTCAGTTAAAAGTAAAGAACAATTGTAAAATATCAATTTTTAGGGTGAATATTTACGTTGTGAAAATAAAATGAATCTAGGAAGTTAATTTATTTGAGTAAGTGTATTTTAATCAGGAAATCTGGAAGAGGAAAAGTAGAATATCTCAGGTTTATCACAGGATCAATAATAATAATAATAATAATAATAATAATAATAATAAGTGAGAACATAAGCGGATTTTGGATATTTACATGAAAAGTTAAAAGCTTAAACCTTCATTTACGGTTAATTAAATAGACGCTGAACCTTCTTTTTATACATCATTAATAAATACACTGACATTTAATAGGTGACACAAGTAACTTTCGAGAAGACTCTTGAACTGAGTTATAATTTTACTACAACAGAGGCTTGCTAGGAGTTTGTTCCACCTAGCGAATAACGAAGAAATTCTGGCGTAAGTTTGCTATCGACTGGCCTTCTCATTAGGCTACTTTTGATTGACACTTCATATCATCAGTGCTTCCAGGTTTTCAATGGTGGTCTTGCTTAGATCGATTGGTGAATTCAACTGTAAGAATATTTTAATGTTTAGTCATAAGAAGAAGGGATTTTAAAAAGTTACTTCTTCATTCTACTTGTCGTTTTAGGTGAAACATTATTCTTTCCGCATCTGGAAGTAGTCGAAAAGGTGTAATCAGTTCCAAACGACGAAATATAGTTGCAACGGAAACTCATTAACCGATCCACTTTGTATTCAGAAATCCCAACAAACACAAATTCTTCATGAAACGTCAACTGTACACCAGATTACGGATTCACACCTTTATCGAGAATTTCTCTAATCGACACAAACACTACCAGACAAGAAGTTTAAGATTTAGCATTAACTGTTCCAATTAGTGTTATTTAATGTAATCTCAATACAGAAGACGTGATTGATTGATTATTCTTTTCTTAACGCTATCAATGTTCAAATAGACTTACTATCCACTAGCCCTATGACATCAGGAGTGGTTCCTAGAAATATGCGTTTAGTTAGCACCAACTGAAATTATCATGTCATATAGAAACTATACCGTTTTTCCGAATATAAAGAAGTTTATTAACCCAATAAAACTTTGCTAACATTTCAAGGGAAATCCTACAGGCCATAAATACACTAAGATCCTGGCTAGTAGAAATTCTTTAGTTAATAGTGGGGAAATTAGTGTCTTAACACATAATATTTGTGGCCTCTTGAACCACAAATATTTAGTCAACATCGAAAAAAGTTTCCCAAAATACAACACACATACAATATTCTAATTCAAATTCACATATGACTATTAATCACCAGTTTGAAAAATCATTAATATCTACTTTTTAAATCTATATTTTCCAGTATAAATCACCCAGCTTAGTTACTCTACTTACCTAACTTAAATCATTAGAAGTACTTCTAATCTGTTTCTATCGATTTTGTAATTAAATTAAAAGTATTTTCAATGGTTAAGATCATGAGTCAGTTGAAGCTAGACCGCCATGGAAAACCTGGAAGCACTGGACGGCCGTTTTGTCGTATTGTGGGACTCCTCAGCAGTGTGCATCGACGACCTCGCCCCCTGCGAGATTCGAACCCAGGACCTACTGGTTTCGTGCGTGAGCACTTAACCACTGAACTTAGTTAGAATGTGAACAGAATTATTTAAATTATTTATCAATTACCATTTTCATAATTTCATCAGTCTATTTCTAAACGTTTATGTTTTTTGTGTTATGTTTTGTTTATCTTATTTCTTTTGTTTATCTAATACTTTTCTTTTCTCACTCATCAATGTAAACTTGTAACTTTTGTCAATATTCATAATAATACTACTTTTCTTTTCATTTAGTTTCAATACTATTAGTAATCATATTACAGTTACATATATTTATAGTATATATTTGATTAGAAAAAAAAAACAAAAGAGAACAATACACTTAATGTTATTCAATGTAAACAATCATCTCTAAAAATCATACGAAAGTTATTTATTTCTTGAATTACTTATTACTCAAATCGAAAGTTAAAATTCAACAACATGAATATTTACATTACTGGTATATTATGTACTATAGCTTTGATCATTTCACAAGGTAAGTAGAGTAACTAAGCTGAGTGATTTATACTGGAAAATATAGATTTAAAAAGTAGATATTAATGATTTTTCAAACTGGTGATTAATAGTCATATGTGAATTTTAATTAGAATATTGTACGTGTGTTGTATCTTGGGTAACTTTTTTCGATGTTCGTATAGTATTTCAACAACAACAAGTAACAACAGGTTGAATCTCAGAATTTCTAGCCATTGCTGTTAATCGTATGATGAGTAGCATACACTGATAATTCCTTCTTAAATGGAATTTAGAATTTTCATGAAAGACCTAAACTGAACAAGTTTACCTGATCAATTAACGATTCTTTTGATGAATAAATGAGATTCATCATTAAGAAGATGCTAATATTATACTGGTTTACATTTAATTACCTCTTGTTTCATTATAGAATAGACAAGGAGGAAATATGTCAACAGTTATAGTGATTCTATTTGAGATTTTTTTAATATTTACCATTGCTTTAGAATGTATGCTTTTTCTAAAAGATTACAAACGCTTAACATTTATAATGGTTTAATTAAAACAATGCTGTAATATATAAATGACTCAAAGGTTTGAAGAAGCTGATACACTCAATAATTACAGAAGTCCCATACTATGAAGGAACGATATTCCAATGTTTCCAGGTTTTCCATGATGGTCTAGCTTTAATTGACTCATGAATTCAACTATTAAATTACTAATGTATGTGGTATTTTCGATGATTTATTAAAAGAAGCTCATAGAATAATCTGTGAATGTAATTTCACTGTCTATATATTTGAATGACATTTCCACACATTTTCTTCATGATAACATTATTATGTTTTGATTTAACTTAGGGTTTACTGCTACTACAAATTTGTAAGTTTTCTACCATTCGATTACCAATCATTATTGATTCTAATTCTATAGTTTTGATTAAGATTTTTGTTTTACTCAAAATCGGTTTTTTGTATAAAACGAAATCTTTTTTGTGTTTAATGTAAGTAACTAGCAGATATTTGTGGTTAACTGTATCCTGGTACCCAAAAAGACATATTGACGTCGAATCTTATGAGTTTAGTATTTTAATTTGATTTATGATTATTAAGTTTTCTAAGCCTAGAATATATTTTACTTGAATTCAAGATTTGTCTTTTCGTGTTAAACACAACCTGAAATTGGCTGGTGATTGTACGCTGACCATGAATATATGAAGTAGATACAACAATTTTCTGAACAGAATCCATGAAACTACCAGTTTTCAATCATTCACTGAGATATTAACACTGAAAATATTGAAAGTGCTCAAAGGTAGTTATTATTTGAAGCCTACCTTTTTCATGTGTTCCATTTAAATTGACTTCTCTGTAAAACATGAATTATCTTGCGTGTAGCCATTTAATCTTTTAGAGATTTCAATCTTTGCAAATATCCAGATCAACAGTTTCTAGGAATGTGCATAATTTATACGAAGTTCTCATATAGTTTACACAAGTCTAGATAGCTACGAGAAATCTACTAGTGTTTGGTATCTCAATGTTCAATACCTATCGAAACCAATGCAGGTTATATAGGCCTCAAGTAGATCATATTGCTACAAACGTATTACTATTATCATTTTTCGTACACTGCTGCTACAGTGATATCAATTTGTTTATTGTTATTTAGTCAACACTGATTGATGTTATGCTTGTTGCTGAAATAGTGTTACCAATCGGAAGAGGCATGGAAGATATATTATGTAGCTAAGTGATTCATTGGCTGGTACTTCGTCTAAGATAATTGTGTTCAAAGGCATTTTATATTCCGACTATAACACCTTTCGTAATCCCTTGAACAATTTGTGACCATCAACCACTTATTTTTCTGCAACGATTTAGATTAAACATCCACAGTTCACAAAATAAGATGCGCTCATCTCTTATACCTCAGCCATTGATAAACAACAAAATAATCTTCTCTATTCAACTTTATTTGTACATACCAAGACGTAGAATATCTCCACTTCAGTTCATATAAAGTCGGCTTTTACAGTGTTTGTGTCTTTATTGTCAGATAAGTGACTAAAAACAGGTGATTAAAAAAATTTAACCAAGTGTTTCTGATTGTTAATTTATCAATCTTTCTACTTCTTAATTGTAAGAAAATAACATAGGCATGTGCTAACAAGATGTTCTTAAGACTATCAACAATGTAATCAATCATAGTTTATCAAATTTGATCAGTACTAAAAAGAACTAAACAAACATAATTTGATCACTATCAAATTATCGTTCAATTGTAGGTAGATTTTGTACATTTTAATTAAATCAATGATGCCTGTTGTTTATTATAAAGTCAAGTGAAAAATGTTTGTTCAATTAACATAAGAATGTTTAGTTCTATTTTAATAATAGTTCTGAAATATAACAATGATACGCTGAACTAAACTACCATTGAATCCATCATAAATATAAAGATTCATATTGTTATTCAGGATTCATTTATTTTAAACTGTTTATCTTAATTTTAAGGTTATTTATTTAGTTCATGTGACTGACTAATTTTTAATATACTTAAATATTAAAAAAGGTTTCTATTTTCAGAAAGGGGGTTTTGTGGAGATTGTAGTAATTTAATAGCTGACTTCGTGAGTCGACTAAAGCCAGACCATTATGGAAATCTTGGAAGCACTGAACGGCTCAATGTCGTAGATTGGTTGAGGTTAGACATTAACACCGTTGGGTGCCGTCTCATTGGTCTGGAGGTTGGGCGTTCGCGCGCGGAACTGAAGGTCCTGGGTTCGAGCCCCACATGCAGGATCGTAGATGCGCACTGCTGAAGAGAATTACACTAGGGTGAAACAGCCGTCCAGTGCTTCCAGATTTTCCATGTTGGTCTAGCTTTAATCGACTCATGAATTCGACAATTTCTGTTTGTTTACAGATGTCAAAAGATTTCATTATTTCGCCTATAAACAATCAATAATTTTTATCTCATCGTTAAACTATTAATTAACACTTTTTGTTTTGTTTTGTTCTAGACCTGAAGATCAATTAGAGTGAATATTCTTATGTGTCGGACATTTTATTGAAAAAATCGTTTTAAATAATATAATTTCTCAACTTTCTACAGTCAAAATTAATTCTAAGTTATTTTCATTTATTAATATCCTCTGTCATTTTCATCATTGCTATTAGGCCCTATGTAAATCCAATCTCATATTGAAAACAAATTTTCATTTGATTCTGAGTTCAGAGTGAAATCTGTAGTATAATAAAACAAAATCATCTATGATGATTAAATAGTGTTGATTAATCATACTGTGAACACTTAAAAACGTTAAGATTAGTTATTGTTTGGAAATTACATAATCAAAAGTATGATTAATAGTACAGAATGCTTAATTGTTGAAATGGTTGGTTAGCTACGCCTAAATGAATTGGTAGTATTTACAACAAATTCAAATATTTTGTGAATAACCAGTACAATTGGTTAACGTGTGTGATGTTTGGTAACAAAATTGATTGAGTAGTATGTACTGTTAAGTTTTCATATTAATGTCAGTAAGATTAAATGTTAGTGCCTGAACATGTTGATTTCCAGTCAAAACCATGGTTGGATTTTTTCATTAAGTTTCACTGAAACGTGTCGGTATCATGTTATTCTGTGAATTTTACAAGCAGTTGCTTTAGCACAATCGAAGGTTAAAATCTCACTAATAGTAATGACATCCCATTTGGATCTTATTTGTTGAGTAAACGTCAGATCCAATTAAGATGAATTTTAATTTTTAAGACCATTAGGTGTAGATTGTATTACCTGGGCATTGAACTTATTTAATCAATTTACTCCTCTCCATGTATACAGTGATTCCGTTAGAAATAAAAGTTGTCTAAATTATTAAGGTTAAAAAACCAATAAACAGGACGGTAACAATATATTTGTAATAGAATTATTTGACTGACTATTAGAATGATTGAAGCACCGAATAGTTTTTCCATTTAATTTTAAGATTTGTCAATAGTGTATTTGTCTGACTTACATTACAATAGAATGATCGGTAATCATTGTTATAGAACATATTTGTTTGTTGATTCCTTGCTTGATTTACTTACTAACTTACGCCTGTTACTTCCAATAGAGCATAGGCCGCTGACCAGCATCTTCCAACTCACTCCATCCTTGGTCTTCTTTTCTAGTTCTATCCAAATGTTGTTCATTTTTCCTCATGTCTATCTCCATTTCTTGGCGTAATGTGTTCTTTGGTCTCCCTCTTCTCCTTTGGCCTTGAGAGTTCTAAGTGAGGACTTGTCTTGTGACGCTTGACTTACTCTAAATATTAAAACACAAAGTTCATGATAACACATCAAGTCAAAATAATCAATAAATTTTAGTTAATTTGAAACAAAAGTACAAGCATTCAGGTTTTTTTTGGTTTTAATTTTTTATAAATTTATCATGGAAAGTTTCAAGCTAGTGATAGACGATTATTTCGGTTCAACTTTTAAATGATTTTTATTCCACTGATTGAAATCATGAATCAATTGAAGCTAGACCATCATGGAAAACCTGGAAGCACTAGATGGCCGTTTCGTCCTAGTATGGGACTCCCCAGTGAAACTTCTAAAATCTCCACAAAACCCCTACTAATTTTTATTCTTTAGGAATATTTATCAAAATGGTTTCAATTTATAATATTTACTATTTAAACAAGTTGGCTATTGAATATTTTCCTCACTAAGGTTAATATGATTTCTTAGTGAAAATGATTTTTACAAAATACATTATTATTTTACTGAATAATTTTGTTAATTCTTATCAAAATTGATTTACATAGTGAACTTAATATTATAAAGTAAGTGGATGCATTTGAGGTTAGTGTATATCAAATATCGATAAATATTATGATTTTCAAAACAGAATCTAAAATAAGCAAAGATGGATAGTGGTTAGTAGTGGGACGCACAACGCACGTTTCATCTTATTTGTGACTCGTAAATTGAATGTACCTGTACCTCAGAGTTGATGTTCACTCAGGGACTTGAATCCAGTACCGTTCGCTTCAAACGCCATGATGTTATACACTTAGCTACAGGATCCAGATTGTGCAATAGGTTGAAGTTTAAATTCACTTGGTACTGTTTGTTTGAATCTTCCGATTGATGTTTAGGACTGCAATTGATCAGTCTCTTATTGGTATATGTGTATCTTATGAGGATTGCCTCAATATTGCCTTCAGTCAAACGCATTATAATCTGAGATGATCGTGACTAATAGTTGAATCCGGAATGAAAAACTCTAGGATACAGGTACATCCAACTGACGAGTCCCAAATAGAACGTTACGTGCATTCTGAATGTCACTGCTAGCCACCATTATAACGCTTGTGAATGAAATATCGAGACAATCCTTACAGAATGCTAATAAGAAACTGATCAATTGAAGTCCTAAGCATCAACCGGTAGATTTAAGTAACCAATACAAAAATAAATTAAAATAGACTAAGTTTATTTTGAACAGTTAATATTGTTATTTATAAACTCATCAATTAAGTAGTTATAGTATAAATGTACTTTTCATTGATTGTAAATTCCTTAATATTTAACTATCATATTTGATTATATCACCAATAAAAACATGAAACATTCTTGTCCAATAGTCCAATTTATTGTCATGTTGTAGTGAATGGAACACCAGTGGAGACAATAGAATGCATTTGACACGAAATTACAAAGCATCTCACTAAAATCTGAGAACCATATAGTAAATAGTTAATTTACAAAACATCAATCCATTGTCTCAAACTTCACTGTTCCTTTTGCAAATATCAGTCCATTGTCTTAGATTTCATTGTTCATGCATTTTCATACCAATTGCTCTTCGTTCCTGTTCTTACCTTTTCGATCTTCTACTGAAATACACTTATATACCTGTCCACCGTTACATACTACTTCTGTGGATATAAGTAACCCACATCACAATATTATCAAGTATAAAACTTAATTAATTGAAAATATATATGATGTTTATTATATTCAAAGTATTTTTGATCTGTTTGAACAATTTAATTCACTTAAAAAAGAAAAATACTTCATTGAAATTCAAAGAATTTTTAATGTTTTGTTTAAATTCTACTTTAACTATTTAGTAAATATTTAAAATTAAAGGGAATGTAAGTTAGTTTTGAAATTTGTATATTTTTTTGAACAATTCCATTTAAACAAATAGTTTTGCATAATACAATGATTTTCTTAAATCATTTAAATTAAATGTTACATTGTTTTAAATGAAAGCTGAATGTTATCATATAAATAATTAGTTTGTCATTTGTTCAGTTTTATTATTATTCATTATATTCAGTATTATATTTTTGGTACAGTATTGATATCTTAACATAATGTATTTCAACAAGTTTCCATTTCTTATTTCTTGATCGATCCTGACGATAAATATTGAATGATTGCCAATTAGATGTTACTAGTTCAGGAATTGACATTTGAATAATGTACATTCTTTTCAATGTATGTTGCCAGTAACCACAATGTCTCTGACTAGGCTCTTTCCTAACTTGTACAGAGAAAAGTTGTGAACTTATCGCAAACACACTTGAATAGGTTATGTAATTAATTGACATAATGATTTGTTGAAATAAACAAAAGAGAGATAACTTGTTGAAATATGTAAATGGCAAGAACAGGTAGCCCAGATATTCATGCAGGCCACCTAGTTACTTAGCTACGATGTCAATGATCATAAATACCTTACAATAAACAGCTTAGAAGTTGTACGATTTGTCTTAAACAGAATGTTGTTAACAAATGTAATATTTTCATGTTCTTTTGTTCTGGTAAAAGCGTATGTATGCAACCATCTTTTGAAAAAAAATTGTTCTCACTTTTTTTCGAATTCGTTAATAACTCAGGATACCATTGATTTTTAAGTCAACAAGCTGTGTATAAAAAACAATTATGTTTCGTACAGTTACGACTCCAAACTGTAATTTATACAAATAATCACTTTATGAAATATTCTATACATAGTTTTCTGCTTTATGTACTGTTATTTTCATCCGATACTAGATTGTCTGGGGTCACATTGTAATGATCCGAGGTTGTCTAATTCTTATACTGATATATACGCTTATTATAAGTGTCTACATATCAACTAATTAAAATAGAAAACCAAGAGAGATTTGGAAGCTTTTATTGACTAAGCAAATCAAAAATATATGTACTACTCATTCACCAATATTAATAAACGTCTTTCTGAAAATCAAGCCACATTTTCAACATATAGCTTATTCTTATTTCTCGGAAAATCTCGGCCTATGCAGTGTTCCTGTCAGCATCTCTTATTTATTATTTGGCCTATGTCTGATTCATCCAGAGAACCATATATTCCATTGTTCTGTTTCCAGCTAAACAATAAAATTGGCAATTTACTGCAAAAGACGTTTCTAGAAGGATGGTGGAGAACGGGGTTCTACCAATTTCAGGGTATTAATTTACGCTAGTGGTTGGTCAGGTTTCGACAACTTTATTACTTTTTTCTTTTCAAATAGAATATTGTAAACAGAACGTTTTGAGGTCAATGACTCTTTTAGTAATGGCTCAAGGACTGATATTGCTTTGAAACTTCTAACACAATATTAACAATTTCGTAAATGACAATAAATCTAAGCAATAAAACATCAAGTAAATTTAGTTCGCATATAAATCACACTGATAAAAAAACCCAGTTTTTACTAAGATAACTTCTAAATTTCTATCCCTTTCACAATACATAAAATTTCAAGTAGTATCCATTAAGTATGGATCACATTTCTCAAGCTATCTGATTTATTAAAAGTAAGAATCAATTTCACTCTTTTGTTTCATAACATACTAATACATTTAGTAACAAACAATTCACCGAAGACGAGTGAGTTTACTCTGATAACTATTCAAACTAAAAGATAAGTAAGTGCTGGAATTTCTGGGGATTAATTCAGTAGTGTTTCCATTTGTCAATACCGTAAATACAGTGTCCAACACTGGTGACATTGAAAATACTCCGAGTGAGATCATTCAATTAGTATTATCAATAACATTGACCTTTATATTATTAACTGTCCATAAATTTAATCAATAGTAACTGAAATATTGACATACTATTTCAGTAATAGTAGTGAATATCAGTTAGTCTAGGAATCACGAATCGTCAGGTATTCTGGTGTTTACTACGAGTTCAGTAGAACAATCACATAGAAATTGGATTCAGTCTACAAATGATGCTGAAGTAATTAAACGAGACTGACGATTTATATCTGATGCAGTTGTTTGTTTTGGTAACTAACGAAATTAATCTTTGTAATATTTTCAATAAAGATGAACAACAATCTAATAAATAGTGACCAAATTATAAATTCATGAAGAGAAGATAGAACTACAAGTAGTATCGAAGCTGAAAAAGAAATGGAATAGAATAGTAAATTTTAAAAAAAAGATACTAGAATGACAGTAGTAGTCGTATCGATAATGTTCTCATGGAATTGACAATACAATCCCAACAAAATATGTAGCAACACTAAAATCACTAATCAAATGATTTGATGGATTTCTTTAGTAATTAAAACCTCCAGCCATCGATTTTATTAGAAAGATAGTGTAACTATAAACAGTCTGTCTAGGATGAAAACGTCTAGTTCACAAAATGACTAGTAAAACGACACTTTCATCCGTCGATTTAGTTTGAATGTTCGTCATAATAACTTAATAGTATTCATCACAATGTATATAACAGAATAATCACTATATAAATCATACTACAAATCAGAAACACATGATATAATATGAAACGATGATATGAACACAGATTATGCAACAAGGGATGCAACGCATAGAAGCTACTTGTGTCACTCGGGGTATTTTTGAGCAAATGAACAATGAAATATATGACAATACGTAACAGTATCTTGCAATAAAAGTGACCCACATTTGTTAAAATCTCTGTGGTTAAAATCAAAAATAACTTAAATGTTTCCATTGGCAGTCTAGTCCGAGATTCTTCGGGAAAATAATCAAAGTTCAGATTCATCGAATAAAAATAGGGTTCAGAAAACAACTGTGCACTAGACAGCTGTTTAATCATGCCAAAATGTTAAATTCGAAATCTCTTATAATGTAGATATGAATATAGGTCTTTATTATAAAATGTCGTGAAAATATCAGAAGAATAAGTTTGTTTATGTATATGGAAATCAGATGTGAAAAGACCCACTGACTATATATTTAACCGTAGGATATAGTCATAAATAAAATTAGTCAATCTGATAGATAATCACAAAGTAACTTTATCATAAAAAGTCGAAAATTAGAAGAAATAGACCAATACATAGTTGTACTGATTATTTAAAACAGTCTAGTTGTTTATGGCACATCCAGATACAATAACTAATTAAAAAAAATACAACTAACTATACTCTATCTCGTTTAGTTAATTGTTTACATTTGCTTATATGTGTAAAGTTTTAAGTGTCAATTTTTATTTGTAAGAACCAAAAGTATTTGGAAGGATTTTTATCCGATTGAAAACAACCATATCAATATTCTACTGAAAATGGTACTATCATCAATTTGAATTCAAGTTTTTTTCAACGTCTAAGGATAAAAGTATTATAACAAATTCATAATTCAATATTTCATAATGAATAGACAATCATTTGGTATACCATGTTCTTTGAACCCTAATAATAATCAATAAATTGTAACTTTATTCGTTTTCTTGAATAAGCTCGAAATAAAATACTAAGTGATGAAACATCCAAGTTATTTTTCATGTTATCCATTAATATATACGAATATTCGTCAAGATTAGAACGAATAGTTTGACAGTAATTGAGCGCCGAGTATAGAGAAGTCCATTAATAGTTCAACAAATATAGTTTCAATAGTTGAGATCATGAGCCACCATGGGAAACCTGGAAGCACTGGACGGTCGTTTTGTCCTACTGTTGGACTCCTCAACAGTGCGCACCTACGACTCCGCCTCGCAGAACTCGAACCCGGGACCTACTGATCTCGCACGCGAGCACTTAACCACTAGACCACTGGGCCGGCTTATATTTGAGTGTCAGTAATAAACTCGATAGTGCAGTAATAATGTAACCATTCGTTTAAATTTAAATCAAGAAACTTTTTATACAATATGCTGTACTATTTAATTTATTTTATTTCCCTAATTTAAACAGTCTCCAGGAATTGCTGAATAACAAGTGAGAAATCAACATATCAATGTTCCGTACTACTTTATGGTAGTGAAACATGGCCGGTAAGAGTAGAGGATATTCGTAGGTTACTAGTATTTGATCATAGGTATCTTCGAAGCATTACTCATATACCCTGGATCCACCGAGTAAGTAATGTAGTTGTTAGGAAACGGGTACTAGGAAGGGATGGCAAATCAATTGATGAAGTAGTGAAACGTCATCAGTTGAGATGGCTGGGACACGTGTTACGTATGCCCAACCACCGAATGCCCCAACGTGCGATGTTTTATGGTGTAAGAGTAAGTTGGAGGAAAGGTATGGGCGACCAGACCAAAACATGGCACAAATCCACGAAGTCACTCACAAGTGGACTGGTTGGGATCAGAGAGATAATAGCAACCGATGGTTAGAGACCATAAATGACATGGCTCAAAATCGTTTGCGATGGCGCAAATGCATACACTCTTTGCGTTCTACCAAATTCCAATTTTCAGAATTCTTCGTCTCCTTTTTTTCTCTTTCCAAATTTATTTCACTGAATTACGTTCCTTGAATAGCATCTTCAAACCCTAATCTTTCCGATTACTGCTTATACTTTTACTACCTCTACCACTATGTGACTTGAATCGACAATTGCATTTCTGAGCTAATATGGTGTGGCAACTCGAACTGATGTACGTACTCAATAAATACAATGAATTGATGGTGGTATATAGGTGTCATGAAGGCTCATGAACTCTATTTATTTATTTTATCGTAGAGATATATAGTAATAGTTAAAACCATAAAAAGAAATTTGCTGCATAATAGCGGAAATCATAAAATCTGATTAAAAGAGATAGCAACGTTTAAAAAAACATTAGAATTGAGGCAGACATAGATGGTGCCTATTGGTGGGATACACGACGGGCGTCTCATACTATTTGGGAATCGTCAACTGGATGTATCTGCATTCCAGAGTTGACGTTCACTCAGGGACTCGAATCCAGTACCGTTCGCTTCAAACACCATCACATTACACATTTAGCTACTCAGTCCTGATAGCCACTAGCTTGTGCGATGGGGTGAAGTTTTAATTCATTTATGTACTTGTTGCTGATTAATTGATCGGTCTTAAACATGAATGGGAAGATTCAAACAAACAACACCAAATGATTTCAAAAGTAAACTATATTTTATACCTAGAGTTCAAAGGTATATATAGGCAGTAAAAACTTTCCCCCCCCAAAAAAAAATTTAAAAAAAAAACTATCTTCGACAGAAAGTGGCACAAACAATTCGTGAGGTTTGCTTGTCTGCAATGATTTAATCTAATTATTTCCTTATACAGCGAGACTGATAAGCACCTTGTGAAGAAGTGAGTGAATCATTTATTGTCTGTTCTTAAACTGTTGTAAATATTACTAAATCTATGTCATATGTATATTCAGAGCTAATAAATGAGTTTCGTAGAAAGAGAGCGATCCTTGAATGCTGAGACCAAGACAGTGCTGTCTTTGAATGAATGTCCATGACAAATTCGAATAGGATTGGGGGAAGCGGAGAGCCTTGATGAACACTGTTCGATTTTATCAGTTTGGACTACAATTTACTATGTGCTTTCATTCAACTAATAGTGTTCCTGTAAAGATCCTTCAGATGGTTTAAATAAATTTCTTCATATTATTTATACAGAATAAACAATACACATCCTATTGAAACGTGAGTGGCTCGTCTACTGTGTATAATTTGTGGCAAGCCCATTTGACCACTGTATCATTTGTCTACTCATTGTAACTCAGACACTTAATTCATCATGTTAATTTTTGTGTGCATTTCAGACTCTTAATTCACTATGTTAATTTCGGTGTGTATGATCGAATGCATGTCTGTACATTAACCCCTTAAGCTATCCTCCTATTGGTTACAATGTACTGATAATCGATAATTTATCGACACCCGATTAACTCTCAAAAATATATATGGATTTTTAACACACAGACACTTACACACACACACTCACTTTGTTTCATCGTGTGCTTGCTCGCTGTACGCTTGCGGATTTTTATTAATCATTAACCATAAATTATCTCTACAACTGGTGTTAAGGCTTTTGAATAATCTCGCGTAAAATTCATAATTCTACCAGGAGATTTAGCCTACATTAAATACTCAGTTAACGGGATATTATTTATTGGAGTCAGATATAGAGGATATTAGCCTCAACAAATTACGTAGTTCCAGGAATTATAGAATCATTTAATTTATGCGTCATGTATTCGTGTGTACCTTTCTTTCATTTTTATGTTGTCCCCTCTTATTTATTAACTTTCTTGCCGACCTTATCTAGTTATACTCAGAAGCATGATGAACCCATGTGAGTAAATCGTCTATTGTTTATTCTTGATTTTATCTTATTTGTTACTAAAAACATTTTAATTAAATAGGTCAACATTTTTCATATTAAAACAACTGTCTTAGTCTAAATGTTCTATGTTCCGAACTAGTTTCAGAGACTCATGTTACACAGCAGAATTTCGATACTTTTGACCTCGTATAAATTTCAATATTTACAGATATCATTACCAAGGTTTCATAAATTCGAATAAATTGAGCATTGGGTAGATTGTTATAAATAAACTAATATATCTGTAATATCCCAATGAGTAGAAATATTAAATTTTCTGACGTTTTGTGACTCAGTGTAAGCCAAATCTTCAGACAATAAATAACCGATTTAAAATTAATCCAAGTTTAAATAATACAACGGAACAACAAGAATATTATGTGATCAATCAAAAAGCAGGTACTATATAAACTTGGATTAATTTTAATTCGGTTATTTATTCTCTGAAGAAGTGGCTTACACTAAGTCACAAAACGCCAGTTTGTCGATACTTGTTCTTCATCCCAATTTTTCGTGAATACAACGTGGAGCATATCTGCAGTTACTTCTATGTCTCGCATCAGTGTTTCGGCTGATATAATGTCAGATGTTGCTGCTTTCCCAATCCTCACTCGTCTGACCACCATCCTGATGTCTTCAACTGTTGGTTGAGTGACATCTATAGGAAGGTCTGTGTGTGCTGCTTCGATATTCAGTGGATTCAATGGAGCTAGTCTATTCAACAGTTGCTCGAAGTACTCTACCCACCTGTTCCGCTGTTCTTGAGTCGCAGTGATTGACTTGCCTTCTTTGTCCTTGACCGGTCTCTCTCACTTACTATATCTCCCTGCTAGTTTCTTCGTTGAATCATAAAGTTGTTTCATATTTCCTTCTCTTGCAGCTCTTCCCCCTGTAATTGTCACGTCTTTTACGTGTTGCTTCTTGTCATCTCCAATGCTTTTCTGCACTTGCCTGTTTGCTTTAGTGTATTCATCTTGTGCCTTCACTTTATCCGTTCTCTTCTGTTGTTAATTGTTATCTTCTTTTCTTCCTTTCTTGAATCTTGTCCACGCTTTCCATAGAGATCCATCCCTTATGATAATGCTTGTTGAGATTCAGGACCTCCTGACACGTTGAAGTTTGTGCTTCTTTTATTCCTTTCCAATTGTCCTCCATATTAGTTTCTTCTTCTTTCAGTAGATCTTGCAAGGCTTGGAACTTCTCTTGTTGTGAGTTATCTTGAATTGGGTGAGTTTGTTAGTATCTCGAAATAAAGTTGTATTGAACCTTTGTAATGCTGTTTCCCCAGTTGTTCATTGCTTCTTTATCTTTAATTTCATCTTGGCAACCATCAGCTAGTGTTGATTCGAGGCTATGCCAACTCTTCTACTGGTTCTCACGTCTTCCATTGACATTGTGAGTTTTCCACTGATTCATATATGATATATCTGGTTCTGTGTAGTGTTGTCCGGTGAGACCCATGTAGCTTTGTATATGCGTTTGTGTGCGAATATTGTGCCACCTATAACCAATTAGTTGAATGCACTTAGATTTTTAAATCTCTCGCCATTCTCATTCTCTTCTCCGGGTTATTCCATGTTTTGTCATGATATCTTCATATCCGGTGTTGTCCCTCCCGACTTTGAAGTCTATATCTCCCATCAGGATAGTCAGGTCGTTTCTAAGCGCTTCGCTATGATTGATTTCAAACTCTCATAGAATTGATTTTTTTATCGTCGTCATTGCGTAGCATCCAGACGGCTGACTTGGCATTTAACGTTATTAATGTCTAACTTCAGTTTATCCATGATCTTGCGCAACTGTTCATCCATTGTCTGAAATGCATAACTGTCTCCGTTCGACACGAATCGGATTGCACTTTCACGGTTTTTCGTGGATGTGCACTACTGAATAGTCCCATATTAGGACGAGACGAACATCCAGCGCTTCCAGATTTTTAATGGTAGTCTAGCTTAGATCGACCCATGAATTCAACTACTGAAAATCTTACAACTTCCACAAATCCCTATTTTGGTACATAAATACTCATTTCTGTACTTCACAATTCGATAAATAATATGCTTTATATTTACATATAATTTAGAATCCCTTTGTGGATTATAAAGTAAGTGAATTAAAATTCTCTCATAAACGTTTTATAGTTTGATTCCTTTTAAATGATTAATTTATAATATTTGTAAATGAAACAGATCATTTGACACTTCAGATGTTCCATTTATAAGTTATACACTATTACGTACCATACGATTAGGGGAGAAACGAAATAATTACGATATGTTACTTAAAAATCTTTTAGATGCTGGATCATTTAGGTTAGCTTCATACATATGTTACAAAGAAATTGAAAGTTATTTAGTGGTAAAATATATTGCCACAAGAAGTGGCTTATACTGAGTCACGACACGTCGAGAAATCTAATTTTTCTACTCATTGGGATATTACAAATATATTGTTTTTATTTATATTACCATGATTGTTTAGCCTATTCACTCACAACAATGGCTTCAATGTTTCAGATATGTCACAATTCGATTTCTCTTCTCATTATATATGGTTTAATGTTGACAATTGAATGTATATTGGTTAGATAGTGTAGCAACAATATGTTTCTTCAAATAATCGTCATTGTGAAGCTTTGATATTTTTGGATGTAAATGTAGCACTCTGTAACCCACCATAGCGAAGCAGTGTCATACATCTTTGTTTATACCACTCACCCAAAGATGTTTGCATGGTCTATTAATTTGTTAAGATTTGAGTCTGGTGTCTTAACCAAGTTGGTGTGAATAAAATTCCTATCTTGTCTTTCTATAATGCTTTCATCAAATTTTATCTTGTGGTCGCAGCACCAATCTGTGAAAATTTTCTGTTTTGTCTTTTTTCTCCTACTATCATAAGAAGCGATGTGCAGTGCGCAATAATTTTATTTTAAAGTATGAAACTTTGATTCTTACCTCACTTCCTTCAATTCCGCCTATTCCTCTCCGACTAATCGAAAGCGTAGATCTAAACGTTCAGTAGAAAATCTTCTTTCAGGTTAATAAAGATGGTGATTTTTCGACTTTAGTATCAATCTGTAATTCTTCTGACCCCATTCATTAAATCTATTTTCATTAGCAAGGCTAAGAATCTGTGATGTTTGTAGGTGATGAATTTTTAACAGAAGAGTTTGTTGGACGGTTAATCGTTTATGGAAATGATACATTGCCCCCTAGAAATCTGATTATCTAATTGGCTAGGCGCTTACTTCAACTGCAATGGTAATTGAACCAATAAGATTGGCATTTCCCTTGAGAATGAAATTTTAAAAGTTAAGTATGCACATAGGTAATACGGGTTGACAAGTTTCGTACGGGATGGGATGGTAGGGAATAAAATTCATAAATTTTAACCCTTTTTATTTTTCAATAGTTGGAATTATCAGTCAATTGAAGCTAGACTACCATGGAAAAACCTGCAAGCACTGGACCGCCGTTTCATCCTATTATTGAAACTCCTCAGCAGTGTGCATCCACGATCCCACCCCGCGAGGTTCAAACCCAGGACCTATCAGTCTCGCTTGCGAACGCCTAACCATTAGACCACTGGGCCGGCATCCAACGGTGTTAATATCTAACTTCAACCAATCCACGAAGTCTAGCTTCGAATGACTCATGATTTCAGTTATTAAAATTTGTAAAAAAAATCTCCACAAAACCCTTTTTTATTTTTTTTCAAAAACTACTCATGTGATTGATTCGACTAGCTCTTTTAGTATGTGACCTAGACCAATTATGTAGTCACTGTTTCACTAATATCTACCGTCTTTTGCTGAAATTTGATTGGTTAAGTTCTGTGGATAATGCCTCATTTTCATTGGATGGTTCTAATCCTAGGTTTATAAAGTTGTTTCAGTCGGCTCATCTATCTGGAAAAATCAATTTCCGAAGTAACAGACTTTAATTAGTAGTAAATTAAGATAATTAATGGTACTTAGCTTCTATATGAGTGGGTTAACTGTTCAATAACAAAAATGTTAACTAACAACGATGCATCAGGCTTAAAACAATTAATGCCGAATGCATGTCCAAACATGTTCAACAGTTAATTCTGTGGACAGAGAGAATTAAATTCATTTGATGTGGAATGCCAACAAAATCCGGAATATAAAACGCATATACCAACAAATTACTATGATTAAGAATTTAGGGAACCAATTGGATATCGACATAATTTTTTCTTGTTTATTATCAAAGTAACAGTATGTTTTTTTTATTGAGATCATGAACCGATTGATGTTAGACCACCATTTAAAACCTAGAAGCACTTCATATTGTGGGACTCCTCAGCAGTGCGCATCCACGATCCTGCTCGCGGGATTCCAGCCCAGGGCCTTCAGTCTCGCGCATGGACGCTTAACCTACTGGATCACTGAGCCGGCATCCGATGGTGTAAATGTCTAACCTCAACCAATCCACGAAGTTGCGCGACCATCTTCGGATCCCGCGGGTGGGATTGTGGATGCGCACTGCTGAGGAGTCCCACGATAGGAAGAAACGGCCGTCCAGTGCTCCCAGGTTTTCAATGGTGGTCTAACATCAATCGGTTCATGATCTCAATCCAAAAAAGAAAACTTAACAATCTCCACAACCTCTAAACTGACAACAGTATATTTGACAAAATTATTCGTATAGACACACGTAGTCATAGTGAATTGCATGAAAGTGCATTGTTATGTCTCTTAAAATGAACTGGATATATAAACATTGTTTACCTATTCAAAGAGTTCATTTGGTCCGTCACATTTCATAGTTTTACTCGATTCAAAAGCAACATTTGAATGTATTTAGACAAGCGATTATCTCGAATACAATTTTTATAATCATTATCACCTAATCTCAAAGGTTATATTGTTATATGATTAAAATATTTGAATTTTGGAAACTGTAACTTGGTGTAATTTTATAAATTAATGACAAAGAGGTTTTAGGGATTCATAGACTTAATCATGAGTAGTATTATACAGTCAATGAAATGCTTATAACAATCACTATATTTAAATTAAGATTGCAAAAAATGATCTTGTGAAATAAATACTTAAATTGGAAAACATAATGATTTTTATTATCGTCAATCATCAATACATCATACTAAGTTTTTCCAATTAGGTGTAGTTATTTTCATATTGTCCCACTAAGAATAAATTCGAATATGACTTAAATGTCAACTCAGTCACCAGACGTATAAATGAGATAAAAATAGGAGACATTTAAAACAGCTCATTTGTCAACTGTTGCACATAAAAAATATGAATAATGCTAAGGTTATGTAGTATAAGATTGCAATGGTGAATAGCCTCTATACGGAATTGTGAAGTTCATTTTTAATAAACCCAAGTTTATCGTAATCATAGTTACCAGTTTGCCTCAAAACAAATTGAGCCAATTAACAACAAGTGAAAAGTACTGCTTTTTAAAAAGTATAATCTTTACCCACAGTATTCAAGCCTTGTACCTTCTAGTCAGAAACTTACGACCATCTTTCTAACACAAATAATGTATATCATTACATCAATATAAATGGAGGTACTAGTACGTAGTATTAGAGGGCCTATATGTTACTTTCCTCGCTCCATTTAGAACTGAACGTAGTTCCTAACTTTGTGAATGTTATACATTCTACACATTAAACCCCACTATTTAGAAAAAATATAGCAAATCTTCTAAAAGAAATATTAACAGTATGTTTTCAATAACCGATTACATAATCTGATTTTATCAAGATCTGTAAATATTTTAGCTTAGATATGAATTAATAGCCATGATCAGGAATTATTTTTTACTTAAGATAGTTGATGTATCACTAGTGAACTTGAAAAAGAAAACACTTACAATACTTGACATGTATTACTTACAATTAATTCTCAGTATCTGGTAAACTGAACAGAATTTCAATTTCAAATTACATCTTGTAATTACTTTTACCAGTCCGCCATACTACTTCGCTGAGTAAGTTATTTGTTTCATTTTCTAGATTCATAGTTATAGATGAGTTATCTAAGAAGTGATTTTTTTCGTGGAGTCTCACTAAATTAGTAAACTAATGAATAAAAGTTGGGATCTATAGAAACGTTATCTTTGTGTTTTAAAGAAAAGAACTGTCTAAAGCAAATCGTAAATGAGATCATTTTTGTTGCTTGGTAAAGACTAATAACAACACGGATCCTAGACTACTAAAGAATTCAGTTATAAATGTGGTATGGTTATTTATGTGTGCTGTTCATTTGATGTATTCACGTGCCCCCAAATGCCCTGGTGCGGCCGAAAGTGGGAAGAGTCCACTCACCCTCTCGGAATGCTCTCACATGGCCACGTGCATACAACCACTGCCAGAGAAGTCATACTCACTGCCTTCTCGCAGCATTACTGGTGATTACGAAATCGACAACACGAAAAACGAATGTCCGACGCTTTAACCGGGTTGGTGGACATGGAGAGTCCATCTTGGGGAGTTGGAAAACCTTGATTCCAAACCAATGGTGCACATGGACCCTAGTATTCTGAAGGAACAAATGGTGTATGGACCAATCGTTGGTCATCGTCTACCATGGGGCTGCATCTGCTGACGTTGCTCCACTGCCTTGTGGATCAGACCTTCAGGTCGAAGGCTCCGGGTGTGGCAACCTAAGAAAACCACCTGATTCGGTTTGGGCACCCGGGCAGTATCACAGCCTTTACACATATCAAATGAGATTTGTGTGGCTCATATGTATTTGGTGCCTCCTTGTACCAATATCTATGTGTTAAAATAAATAAATCAATAATGTATTCACGTAAAAAACAACCAACACTGCAAGTAAGCATCTGCCCTCATCCCCGACTTCACTAATAATTTTCTATTAGTACTTATTAATTGTATTATAGTAAATCTTATTACAAATGATCAATATCAGTGGCTTATTCAGAATGATTGAAAGTATTTATCAACACCAAAACAAAAATAATTTTTACCCATTTGAAAATGTTAATTATATGTATGCAGTGAATTTTCTTAACTAACAAACATTTTTTCATTTGACAATAGGAAGCTATTTCAACTATTGGGATGTAAGTTTCAACTAGATTGTGTTTTCCTGTTCTTTGAAAGTAAAGATATTCAGCATCATAGTCTTCAAAGTCAATAATAAGTAGAACTGTAAAGGTAAATATTAGTTTCTGCTAGAAAATATGAGTTTTTTATCCTCTAAAAATTAGAAGAGCAAACAAAATTACTACATCTGAAGAGGACAAACAAAAAGAACGAAAGTATACAATTAACATCTTACAGCTTAATAATTTTCCTATGAAGATTACTAAAAGCGCAATAAAACGAGACGTGTTACTGCTAAATAATAAACCGAATGAAACGTCATGGATTAGTACTGTAGTTTTATCATACCGCCATGACACAACAGAACTCCAGAGTCTTAAAACAACACAGAACTAAAGAATATTACAAAACAACAAACACCCTTCAAATTACTTTAGTTCGCGTAAAGGAAAATGTTCTTTTTGTGTCAACTCAGGATTGAGTCTACAAATTAAGATGTGTTGACTGTGATGCCTTTTGTATTGGAGAGTCATATCGTGAAATCTTGATTCGAGCCAAACACCTTAGGTATATCTAATAACCTTGTAGAACTGGAAAGACTGCAAATTAAATCGGCAATAGCAGTTCATGCCATTTTCAACAACCATCATATCGATATCAAAAACATATAACTAATACAAAAAGGCTTTTTCAACTACAACTAATTCCACTGCCCTCAATAGAAAAGGAGGCTTCACCATTCATCCGACTTGGACCATCTATCTAAGTTACAATGTTTGATTCCACTCACATTTCATACTATTACCGTACGTACAAATTAAACTCTATCCTTTCCCAAAAATGTCACATTTTTTCATCCCATACACACACACACACACAATGTACGAACATGCCTCATATAAATCACATTGACCGGAATGACGCGACATTGACTTACTTAGACCTGCTTTTGGTTGATCGCACCCGGTATTCTTGCTTTCTTCTATTTAAACTTGGGTTAATTTAATTTGGTTATTTATTCCCTGAAAAAGTGGCTTACACTGAGTCACGAAACGTCAGAAAACTATATTTTTTACTTATTTGGATACCACAAATGTATCATTTTTACTTATCTAGATTTCTCAAGCAGAAAAAACAACACATTATATCTACCATTATGATTCGTATCGGGAATAATTTGATTAGATTCCCCTAGTCGAATTACTTAATGTTACTGATTCCGGCCTTGGAAATCCGGTACCATAGTTCACACATAAAATTAAAAATATTGAAATATGCTAATCAAAATTACTGTAGATTGTATTTTCATAATTTAGTGAAAGTTATTTAAAAACCATTATGATCGGAACCTAATTTTCATTGGTACTAAAATTGCTTTATGCTGACTAAACAACAAACTAATAATTAAAATTTTTAACGTATTATCAGATCTCATAAGATACGATGATGGCCTTGAAATATATCGACCATAACGTCAGTATCACAACTACATAGTATGGGAATGAGTTCAACAACTATTCTTAATAACTTTGTTTGGTTTTCTTTAAACATTGTGAATGAACTAATAAAAGATGTTGATAATCATTTTAAGTGATTAAAAATAAATTAGATATTCAATTTTTGCCTTCTTCTGAGTAATGTAAATTATTAACCTTAATTAAGAGTACCTAAACGAAAATTTGTCACTAGAAATTACTTATGTTCGTTGTAGTATCACATCTTTAGAATCAATACGCATGAATGTGAACACAGGTTCATTTCAAACATATAAGTCTGAAACTTTAGGTATTGTAATAAAATTATTTTATTGACATTTATTGTCACTTGTTATGCTGGTCAAATGGTGTTTTGTAGTAAGTGTTAGGATATATAAACTGAAGTTTAGTTGGTATGAAAGTATACTACGTAGCAATGGGTAGCGGAAATCCCATCCACACTTCTGACTTCTGTTGATAGTAAGTATTAGCAGAACCTATTATAAATATGGGGAACATTTAAGTTATGGAGGATTTTATTGATAAGATGAACAAATTCTCTACTATCGGAATGAAAGAACATGAAGCCGATTGACAGGTGATATGCAATGCTATGATGTCGACGAGTGATGGCTGCTCGCCAGACTGGGTTATTGACGAAGGGGCTTGAGTGTTTTGAATTAAAAGACAAGACCACTAGCCAAAAGAATATTTTCATGAAATAAAATGATGCGTCTATAAACAAAATGCTGACACAAGGAAATAACGCGATAAGATGTCATAGGCGACTGCATGATATTAGTTCATAGATCACTTACACTACAATCAAGAACTGACTGTTAAACCAAATACTTGCCCATCATATCAGCTTGGTAGCAGTCAAACAGAAGTGTTGTCCTCTAAGTAGGTTCTTAAGAGAATATATGTCACATAAGAATCAGTTTTTTAGAAACCTAAAGAATTGAAATATGATAGTACCGTCAATGTAACTAGAATCAAGGTTAGACTTTCCTCGTAGAAGTCAAGATAATTCAAAGATGAACACGTCGAAGATAACTCAAAAATAAACACTTGGTCAAATTCTGTCAGTGGTCGTTCCACCCTCGTACTTAGTGCTATGCCTACACCTGCCAGTCCACGAGAACTAGTTATCGGGTCGCCAGATTTACAGAGCGGGTATTTCGTCGGCTGTCTATTTTGGCAAGGTGAGATCAAGTGAATGACCACACTAGGATCCTGTATGCGTGTTTTGGAGAAATAGCGTACATCAATAGTACGAGATTCTAGAGTTTTAGCCAAGGAGGCCTGCTGGCCTATTTGACATAGGGTGCGTACGTTGCAGGCTCCAATGTGTAGTTTGGAGAGAGGTTTCAGTAGACCTTGGACAGTGTTTTTCGCGCTAGAATCGTTCACTATGGTGACACTTGAGGAGGAAGCCAAAAGAGGAAGTTTAGAGTTGAAAGTCGGTGTAAAAGGAATAATAGTAATTGAAGAAAGAGGTTGATTATGAACACAGTGATCTTGAGTGCTTGTTATAGGTATGAGGGTGGCTATAACTTCCCATACGCCCACACCGTGCAAGGGTTTTACTGGAGGTACCTGAAAATTAAATTTGATTAGAGGTGGCATTAGTGACCTGAGAGCGTGACCTCAATACCCAAGGGACAACTGCTTGAGGTCGGTCACACACGACCTTTTCATGAGTAATTTTTGTGTTAGCTCTGTACTTGTTGAGACCTTACCGCCGGAGACGGATATCCGTAGGATAAGGCGAGGTGTGCATTTTTAGGGTTGACCTTTTCTAACCCCACCCTTCTTTATCGGAAGGTAGAACCGCTGTTATGCTGGTTTTCTGAAGGAAACACCTTACTGCCGTTACACATCTGTACAGTCAACAGTACGGCTTCGCCTTCGGACCTTGGGTTCACTGCTTTTAGTTTTACCGTTCTTCAACCGACCTATCTGGCATGGTAGAACCTTGAATAACAATTTTTCCAGCCAGCGTAGCTCGACTGGTTCATCGCACGTCAAGGTAGCAACAACAATGGTGTAGATGTATATACTCTCTATTTTCCCTTAAACTATGAGATTAAAATCGATTCACATCTTTCTTTCTACGAACTAATTCTCTCTTCCTGTACTATGTCTCTATATGCAATCTTTCTTTTATATATTGCCACCACTGGATTAACTATTTCTATGGATCCAGTGTTCATCTTGCTATGCTGATGAGGTGTGGCAACTTGGACCGATGCATATATGTGCCTGGTCCTACACTGTTGCTGAATGATAGAGATTCTGTAAGTCAATCAACATATTTAAATTGTGACATGTATGTATGAGCGACTTTTATCTTACTTCAATAGTTCAACGAGACCTGAAGTTATAGTGAAGGTTATACTAGTCAAAGTGACTGTAAATGTTCTGGTACAGCCGAGAGTAGGGAGTCAGCTCTATCTTGAAATGTTCTCAAATGAACATGCGTATAAAGTCACTGCCAGGGAAGTCCTACTCATTGCTTTCTCGCGGCGGGGGTGTTGTTTACGAAATTGAGAGGATGCCCGGCGCTTTAACCGAGATGGTGGATATGGAGAATCAACTCACCCCAGGAGAATTGGAAAGTCCTGATTCCAAACTAATGGTGTACATGGGCTACAGGAATCTGATAGAACAAATGGCGTATGAACCTATTGTGGCCACCGACTACTATGGGACTGAATCTCCTAATGTCGCTCCACTGCGTTGTGGACAAGACCTATAGGTCGAAGGCTCGGAGTGGCCCCCTGCCTCAGTTTGGGCGTACGAACAGTATCCCAGCCCTCACACGAATGACAAAGTGTGGCGCATATATATTTGGTGACTCTTCGTACCAATGTTTGTGTTCTAATAAATAAATTTAGAAATGGATATGACTTAATGACAATATTTTTCTTCACCGATTAGGCATTAATGACCAGAGCCCATTCTATTCACGTTCCTTGAATTCATTCATATACGTAAGGCTTCAGATGTGATATAGTGGGTTAGGCCAGACACACTTCAAACCATAAGAGTATGCGAGTGGTCAAAGCTTAACCATATTTTTTTGGATTGAGACATACTTTTGATTGAAAAATGTGATTTTACTATGTGCGGGACAAATATACATATATATGAACGAGTATATATATATATATATATATATATATATATATATATATATATATATTCCATGACTCGGTTTTAACAAACAAAGCTTTCTAGTTTAGTAGCTTAGTTGATTCCGCGTACAGGCAATTTGTGTGTCAGTATCTTAAGCAGACACCACATAAAAATCAACTTTTTTAATCTTCTACTGCATAAAACATTATTTCTGAAGTAGCACTCTACGGAATTTGAAGTTTTATCTGTGATAACAATATTACATGCAGATGAATCTACAATTTCTGTTTAATAGTGAAGTATATCATCAAATTCTTGTTCATAGGCTATTTAGTAGGACTGCTTCAGTTCAATATGTTAATGGTTAAAAATTAGAAAATGGGTTATCTTATATAAGGGATGAATCAACTATAATTTATCCTAAGTATATAAATAACGAAGCTTGTTACTCCATAAACGCTTAACTAGAAAAAATATTGATGTACTTATGAAGAAATCGCCTTGAAAAAAGGATTGTAGTAAAAAGTTCACAACCTCCAATAAGTATACCAATTTTTGAATAATTTCAGGAAATCGACACATTTCGAGAGATACTTAGATTATGATTCGGCTCATGTGCAGTGCACGAAAGTTAATGTTGTAAAAAATTTAATGAACAGAAGTACTAAGCTTGTTACAGATAAGGAAGACCAACGAACTGAATCGAATAAAGCATTTTCTACTTTTAGGGATAAAAACTACCCAAGAGTTTTTAAAGAAGATTGTTAAAAATGAAAGAAAAATTAAACTAGAATGTATACGAAAAGTTTGAAAGTACACCTTAGTCATCCCATACCGTAGTGAAACGTCGGAAGAAACCAAGCGGATTTTAAACAAACATGATATAAGAGTGTATTTTAAGGCGAGTAACACCTTAAGATCGACATTAGTGAAAGCTAAGGACAGGTTACCAAAGGAAGAACAACAAAATATTGTGCATGAAATCGACTGTCATGATTATAATGCAGCTTATGTGGGAGAAACATCCAGAAAATTTAATGTAAGGTTGAAGGAACACAAACAATGTTTGGAAAATGTTCCTAAATCCTCGATTGCTTTGAAGAAACTTGAGAATAAGTCTGCGATAGAGTTACATGCGTTAGAAACAGGACACAAAATTAATTTTGAAGGGACCAAAATACTTCAGAAAGGTTTTAACAATCAGAAAGAAAGATCGACAGTGGAAGCGCTGTATATATGAATGAACAAGAACAGCTTGAACCGAAAGGATGGTATTCAACTAGCAACTACCTGGCAAATTCTGGTTGACAAGTGATTTGAACCTTCTCTTTATTCAACTTGTTTATTTCACATGCATCGTTATTTGAACTGAATTCAATGAGTTTTTAGCAATACAATTACGTATTTGTTGAGTCCTAAATTTGACAAGCACATAGATGATTCAGAAACCATTGTTCAACCTCGAACATGCACTTTTATTTATTCCTTTATACATAACATATTAACACCAAATATCAATAATTAATCTCACACATATAGACATACCTACACACTCACACACATGCAATTTGTTATTCAGTTAATTATTTCAATGTTGAATTATCCACATGATTACCATGTAAACTGACTCATGTTATCCTATTTTACAAAAATCAACATTCAAATATGGTTTAACACAGTATAGTTTTGATTGTTAAAAAGCTATATATTTGTTTGATGATTTTGATTATTCTACCCTGAAGAAGTCCAGACAAGTTAGCTGGACGAAACGTTGGAATTATTTAAATTTCAATCGCTGAGATTATTTCAAATATAATTTCCATATATAATGACTTCTCTATACTGGGCTTCCAATTTTTGCCAAAATATCCGTTCTAATATTGACGAATATTTGTACAAGTTTCCTAAATATGTTGTTTAGCATGAAAATCAGTGATGACAACTAATTTGTTGAAGTTTAACTGTTAAAAAAACTGACCATCAGCTGAAAAACACAATCAAAAAGAACGTGACGTCCTTAGCCTTAAATAAGAAGGTATATTTACATTGTCGGAAAACTTTATGCGGATATGATTTGCAGGGAACGTCAATAATGAAGATTCAAAATATTTACAGCAATCAACACCTAATAATTTACAAAAACAAAATCTTATCCTTTCTGTTTTGTTAACACTTCATATTATCATGGTCAATAATGCTTGAGGTGGTAACTTTATTTGTCTTTAAATATAACTCGCTTGTCACCCAAATATGATCCAAATCATACACAGGAGGGACTATCGATAATGGTCTCAATAATTCCACAGGTTTTGATACGTTTGAATTAGACTGTTGATCTGTGACATAACTATCAGTTGGATTTTGAGCATGCATTGAAAGTGAATCTGAAACAATAACAGGATTGTTAAAATATGATAAATCTTGAGGTAAGGATTTAGAGTTCAAGTGGAAGATTTTTGTAGAGTTCTCTTTGGTTGCAAAGCTTTCTTCGTCCTTCTGGACAACACCATCAACATGAACCTGACTGTGAGCTATCTGATTTTTTTCCTTACATGAATAACACGCTGTTCTGTCGACTTTGATCTTGACTAGTTGTTATTAACCCTCACTCTGTCATCGTTTGCATATTTATTTTGGTTATCATCACCATTTACATAACTTCTGACCCTATTACTAACCATGATTTTTCTCAATGGATGATATATTGTGTTGATTTTACTGTCCCTTTAATCAATCCAGATTATTATTATTATTATTATTATTATTATTATTATTATTATTATTATTATTATTATTATTATTATTATTATTTGAACACATAGATATTCGTACAAGAAGGCACCAAATACATATGAGCCACACAAATCTCATTTGAATTATGTGAGGGCTGTGATACTGCCCGAGTGCCCAAACCGAATCAGGTGATTTTCTTAGGTTGCCACACCCAGAGCCTTCGACCTAAAGGTCTAATCCACAAGGCAGTGGAGCAACGTCAGCAGATGCAGCCCCATGGTAGACGATGACCAACGATTGGTTCATACGCCATTTGTTCCTTTAGTATACTGGAGCCCATGCGCACCATTGGTTTGGACTCTCCCCACTCTCGGCCGTACCAGGGCATTTTGGGGCATGAATCCAGATGGTGATGATTTCATTCATGTTTCTTTCGTCGATTTTATTATTGAATCGGAAATATATTGTCAAGCATCAGTCTGTGATTTCTTATAAAATTCTATTTTCAACATTTGTCAATCCAAAAACATTGAAATAAAAGTATTATTAGATAGGATATTTGGTTGCAGCGACAAAGGAGTATCACTCGCTTCAATAGAAGACTGTAGAAATGATTGAATATAGCAAACGAGGGAGAGCTGAAGTTAAAACATAAACGAATTAAAGAGTTATCATGAAGAAAATGTAATGTAAATTCATTTATCGCTGAGATTTCGAAGTCATACATAAATATAATCCGACTTACTTTTGATAAAGTCCTCTACGTCACATGTAGCAAAACATGAAATAAGTTGTAATGAGTCACAAATTCAAAACTCTACATTGAATATCATATGTTGTTATAATCTCAGTTTTCTTCTTACGGTTAATGACCCAGCTATTCCTATTGCTTAGTATTCTTGGACACCGATTCACTCGACAAGTCCCCAAATCAGAACACGGTTGAACAGGAAAGAGATTATATTCCAAATAGCAAGTCAGAAGCCAGTAGGAAGCACAATAGGGGAAAACGTTGGTATATTTATAGTTTTTACATAAGAACATTCCAGAGTATTCTCCGACTATCGACTAGTGCTGATTGGATAAGAATCAGCCAATCAGCGTGCACCAAAACAATCATGCATTGAGCTTGCTTTAATCTAGTCTATGTCCCGCTAACACCTCCCCTCTGAGCAGATTCGTAGGATCTGGTGCTAGGGTCCAACTGCAACCGAGTGACTGGCCTGTGCTTTCGATTAGTCCATCGTCTAGGCAATAAAGAAGTATCACTCTTTTCTTGCACAGAAACTGATGTGTCTATTCCCGGCGTTTTGATTTCAAAGGTGTCTAGCAGAACATCAAGAGGTAATCGATATTGAATCTTGTTGTTGGCTATCGAAGTTGCTTTCAATTGGTTAGCATGACGTACCCAAACTTCTGAGCCAACTAACACCTCGTAAACCACACTCCCCTTCTTTTTCAAGATCCGACCAGCTGTCCATGTAGGATGTTTCCCACGATAGTCCATAGCAAGCACTTTTTGTCCCGCCGTGAACAATCGGCTTTGTGCCCCATGATGTCGGTTAAACTGATTCTCCATCGATAGGTTTCGTTGGGGTTCAATAGCTGGCGCAGGACGGATGACATCGAAATGTGTACGTATCTTTCTGCCAAGAAGAGCTTCTGCTGGAGAGAGCCCGTTAATTGTCTGAGGGTTCGGTGTAGAACGATAAATAAACAGGAACCTCTCTAAGATATCTTCAGTGGTCCCTTCCCCTTTGGATTTTTTTAGAGCATTTTTAAATGTACTCACAAAGCGTTCCACTTGGCCATTTGATTGGGGATGGTATGGAGGTGTTCGGATGTGCTGGATTCCGTTCTGCCGACAAAATTGTGAGATTTCGGACGTAAACTGCGTTCCGTTGTCACTAACTATCAATTCCGGGATTCCAAAACGACTGAATAGTTGACGTAGTTTACTGACGGTGCAGCTTGCAGTCGGGTGTTCCATGAGAAAAATTTCTGGCCACTTGCTATATGCATCAACCACCAAAAGGTAAGTTTGTCCATGAAGTGGACCAGCAAAGTCCAAATGTATACGCTGCCACGGTGACTGTGGTATTGGCCATGATTGCAGCTCTGCTTTTCGCGGTGCTTTAGTTGCTAATGCACATTTGGTACACGAACGGGATAGCTGCTCCAGTTGGGTGTCTAAATGCGGCCAGTATACATAACTTCGTGCTAGTGCTTTCATGCGATTTATTCCAGGATGTCCTGCATGCAATTGTTCAAGCACTGCTGGTTGTAGCTTCTTGGGAATTATGACACGTTCGGCAAACAGCAGACAGTCATCGATGATTGAAAGAGAGAGTCTTCGCTGGTAAAACTGTTGAAGGTCTGTGGAATAGATTTTCGAGGGCCACCCTTCTAGGTGGAACTTTCTAACTTCTTGTAGTGTTGGGTCTCGAAGCGTTTCTTCCCTGACTTCATCTGACGACACTGGAGTGTTTCGAATGGCATCTGCCACTATACTTCGTATTTCTGGGTCTACTGCTGTAGAGGCAATGATTATATCCTCTGGTCCAGGATGTTGAACTCCAATTAATCGGGAGAGAGCGTCAGCTTGACCGATGGTATTTGTCGACTGATACTTGATATTAAAATCATAACTCAGGAGCATTGTTGCCCAGCGCTGTAGTCTATTAGCCGTATAGACAGGGATTCCTTTCTTAGAACCAAAGATTGCAATCAAAGGTTTGTGATCTGTCAGTAGAGTAAATGTACGACCATAGAGCATTTTATGAAATCTTTTGACTGCGAAAATGATTGCAAGAGCTTCCTTTTCAATTTGGCTGTAGTTTCGCTGGGCTGGAGTAAGTGATCTAGCAGCATTTATCCAGAAACACGTGAGATATCACTGCTCCAACTCCATGACTAGAGGCATCAGATGCAACAACAATTTCCAAGCTGGGATCGAAGTGCGTCAAAAGAATCTTTGAGCTGAGCATTGATTTGACTCTCAAAAGATGCTTGACATTCTGCTGACCACTGCCAAGGTTTATCTTTCGATAGTAATTCATTTAGGGGACCTCTCACTCGGTGCATTTCAGGCAAGAATGTGCTGTAATGACTGATTAACCCCAAGAAGGATCTTAATGAAGAAACATCAGTTGGTGCAGGCATCTTCTGAATGGCTTCGATGTTGGCAGGATCTGGTCGGCGACCGTTCTTATCTAAGATAAAACCAAGGTATTTGATCGAATGCATGAAAAAGATACATTTTTCCTCACGTAGTTGAAAACCATACTCCAACACTCGGTTAAGGACTTGGTGTAGTCGATCAGAAAGTTCACTATCAGTTGAACCCATAACTATGATATCATCTAGATAAGCTCCTGTACCAGGTATACCTGTTAGCATCGTATCCATTATTTGCTGAAAGATTGCGGGTGCGGCCTTGATGCCAAATGGTAGACGAGTGTATTGAAATAACCCTCGATGAGTGTTAATAGTCAGAAGCTCTCTACTATCTTCATCTACTTCCACTTGGAGACAAGCATCGGAGAAGTCTATTTTCGCGAAACATGTCCCACCATTAAGCTTGGCAAACAGGTCTTCCGGAACTGGTAAGGGATATTGATATACATCTAATGCAGCATTTAAACCGGTCGAGAAATCGGCACATATGCGTATAGTCCCATTGGCCTTCTTAATCACTACAATCGGTGCGGCCCATGTAGAGTAGTTAACTGGTCGGATTACATCAGCCTGCTGCAAGCGATTAAGTTCCTGGTCGACTAGCTCAAGAGCAGCATATGGCACAGGACGTCTCGGGCGAAAAATAGGTATGGCATCTGGTTTCACTGGTAAGTGCGCTTTCATCTCGGTACAGTGGCCAAGGCTATTCTGAAAAACAGGCAAACTTTCTTTTCAGTTTTTCTAGTAACCGTTCACCTGTCTTCTTTGGAAGTAATGGGGTGTCCAATGATGAACACGATACGTTACAAACACTGTTAATTGGTATATCCATTATTCCAAGTTTGTCTAGCATATCTAGACCAAGAAGATCAAGGTTCGGCTGTTCTGTTAGGTAACATATTCCTGTACAGTTAGTTCCCTTGAAGGAAAATTCACACTGTAATTCACCAACCAGTTTTAGCACACCACCTGATGCGTTTTTAGCCGTTTTCTTAGATGGCTTCATTGGCGGTTTACCCAGCAAGTTATACGTTTCTCTAGACACTAACGTGATATCTGATGCCGTGTCAATTTGAAGACGAGCTGATATGCCGTTTATCTGGATGGTAGCATACTTTCTCCGAATATCATAGTTTGTTTGAAAAACAGCTACCAGAGAAAGAGATTTAGACTCGGCTGATTTCACATGTCGAGGACGTTTATGCTTCTTCTTAGGCTGAGACGTACGCTTCGGTGGACAATGACCTTCTTTATGTCCACGTTTGTTGCACTCCTGACATTTATGCTTCTTGAATGGACAGAATCGTGCATAATGCCAATCACCGCATAACCAGCATGCAGTCCTTGGTTTGTTACGAGTTGTTACCGGCTTCTGAACTTTCAACCTAGTAATAGTATTTACACTACCACAGGTTAAATTAGGATTTACCTGTTCAATCAACTCGTTGTCGTGTCTGATGCTTTGTAGACGCTTACACTCATCTGTCAATGTTCTGAGTGTGACGTTTGGGTCTTGATCCAGTCGAGCTAAAAGTCTAGTCCTGATCTCAGCATCTTGTGGTGACTGAAGAGCTTTGATGAATATTAAGCATTTAAATTGGTCATCCGTCAACGAGCGTAACTTGAAACGTTCACATTCTCTGTTGACAATGTCTGCTAGAACACCATATTCATCAGCTTCGCGTTTCACCAAATTTAGACACCGATATCGAATACTAAACAACGAGGATGACTCGCCGAATATCTCTGACAACTGAAATACCGTCTCATCGAAACTGAGCTCTCGAGGTAACTTTGGCAATATATGGTCAGCAAAACGTGCATGTTCACTGCTTCCCAACTTACGTACCAACAATCGGGTCTTCCACGCATCGTCTTGGTTACAGAATTCTGTTCTAAATGTATCTTCCCAACGTTTGAACCACGTGAGAAAAGTATTTCCACTTTCGGGATCATAGATGAATTCTGGGATGCTGCTAGCGACTGCATCACAAGACGTACTTGAAATAGCATGTGAATTCGAGCAGTGGATGTTAAGCTGTTGAGTCAGAGTCTCCAACAACCGCATTTGTGCATCAAGTTGTGCTTGCTGTTGTTGTAGTATTCGGTTAAGCTGGTCATCTGATATGGGCATCTTGAATTTGTTTTCCTTTTTCCCCGTCGCCACTGTTATAATCTCAGTTTTCTTCTTACGGTTAATGACCCAGCTATTCCTATTGCTTAGTATTCTTGGACACCGATTCACTCGACAAGTCCCCAAATCAGAACACGGTTGAACAGGAAAGAGATTATATTCCAAATAGCAAGTCAGAAGCCAGTAGGAAGCACAATAGGGGAAAACGTTGGTATATTTATAGTTTTTACATAAGAACATTCCAGAGTATTCTCCGACTATCGACTAGTGCTGATTGGATAAGAATCAGCCAATCAGCGTGCACCAAAACAATCATGCATTGAGCTTGCTTTAATCTAGTCTATGTCCCGCTAACATATGTTTATATCAATCGACTGACTAGGGATAAAAATTTAGCACTAGATCATTGTAAGAAAGATCGTTGAGCTGCAAGTCTACTTATTTTTATTTCATTATATGTTACATTCTCTTGTCATGGCTTTTGACGCGCATTAGATTATTGATTAAGAAAATGACAACGGATATCGGAATAGCATATCATGATTTCACTGCGTAAACTTTCAAGATACGAGGTGTGGAACGAAATTCCCACTTATTAACACCAGCAAATACCTAGGAAGAATTTGGTACACAAGTTGTACATGAATTTATTGATCAATAAAAAATGTTTTGAAAAGCATTTTCATTTCGAAATCTACATACCTCTAATTTGATAAATCGATGTAAGTGGTTGCATGAGTGAACGATTATTCCAAATATAAGCAAAAAGACCAGATATACATATAATCAGTAGTGAGATTGGCGCAGTAACTGACCAGTGTCTAAAAATTTTTAAATACTATATTTCAGCAAAGTTATTTAACAAATTCAGAATGTAATTATATGAATAAAATATTACTAACATAACTGCTTAGGTGAGACTCAATTGATGAATAAATCTGTTTGCATTAATGTATTCGAACACGGTACAGTACAGTCGAGGTTGACTATGATCACCACTACAAGATGAGCGCGTACCAGAAAATCAAAAGGCGAAAGATTGTAACCAGATTTATTCGTTGGCGATCTCGTGGTATCGAAAGTATACCAAGATCGTGCCGAAGGAAATACCAGTGGAATCAATGGGCGAATGTGCGAGCGTACAAGGTCACAGTCAACGGAAGAATGATGAGGGAGTACAGTTAGACAAACAAGCACAGTAAAACAATCACTGGTACAATTAGTTATAATAATAATTGTTTCCAATAAACTAATCGCGTTCTCTTGATAAAAGTAGGTCACTACATAAGCCCCACGTGAGAAGGTCTTCCGTAAGGCTGTTGCACGGGTTCGCGTATCGAATCTACTCGTATGAAAACATGTGAACAGGTAGATAACTCTCGAGGGAGAGCGACCTGTCGATGCTGTATACGAGTTGACACCGGAGGCAATGTTCGCGTAAATTCAGACAGTCGATGGACGTAGTCTGATTTATCGAAATCGTTACTGCCCCGTTGTGTGGAAAATTCCCCAGACTCTGTCACGTATCCAAGTGAATGCAGTTACTTCACCGGTGCTCGATCTTCCTTCTATGGCTGCCGCTCAAGCAAACGATTCTTTTTGTACAGAAGCACCACAATCTACATCCCTTCGGTGCCAGGAAGTAACCCTAGCTACTAGCTCAGGTACTATCCTATGTGATACTTCTACCAGTCTTCCCCGACCCATCTTACCCTCTGCTTACCGTCGTCTAGTCTTCGATGCCCTGCATGGATTGTCTCATCCAGGTATCGCAGCTACATTACGTCTCATCGCTGCACGATACGTCTGGCCGTCCATGAATAAAGATGTCCATATGTGGACGAAGCAATGCTTACAATGTCAACGATCAAAAGTGCACAGGCACGTAGCCGCCCCCCCCTTGGCACTTTCGCTACGCCTGATGCTCTCTTCGATCACGTTCACATGGACATTATAGGACCACTACCACCATCGCATGAGTATGATCACATACTCACGTGCATCGATCGTTTTACAAGATGGCCCGAAGCTATTCCCATCACGTTTATTACGGCGGAGACAGTTGCTCACCGCTTCGTAGAACGATGGATAGCGCTGTACGGTTGTCCCTCGACTGTCACGACCTACCGAGGAAAGCAATTCGAATCCGCATTATTCTCCTCACTGACCCGGCTGCTTGGCACGGAACGCAAACGCACTACCACCTACCGCCCTGCATCAAATGGTTTAGTTGAACTTAAAAGTGCTCTTCGAGCACACGAAAACGACAATTGGTACGAAACCTTACCGTTTGTCCTCTTATGTATCTGAACGAGCTTGAAGGCAGACATCCAATGTTTCGCCGCTGAACTTGTGTACGGCAGGACATTGGGTCTGCCTGGGAAATTTTCCACACCACGGGGCAGTAACGATTTCGGTAAATCAGACTACGTCCATCGACTGTCTGAATTTACGCGAACACTGCCTTCGGTGTCAACTCGTATACAGCATCGACAGGTCGCTCTCCCTCGAGAGTTATCTACCTGTTCACATGTTTTCATACGAGTAGATTCGATACGCGAACCCGTGCAACAGCCTTACGAAGGACCTTCTCACGTGATTTCTCTTCACGGAAAGACCTTCAAAGTTGATTGACATGGCCGCGTCGAGATCGTCAGCATTGATCGTCCCAAACCAGCACACGTCGATAATAGTGCCCTACTCGATAACTTGAGACCCAATGCTAGACCTATCAAATCTACTAACGGGATCCTTACATCTACTTCAGGTCCCACGCTAGATACATCAGAGACCTCATTCTCACGTCTCGGTCAACGGCACGTGTATTCTGCACCATCTACGGAAGAGACTTCATTCGCACGTCCAGATTGGCAGACCACGCCGCCCTTGACTTTGGATGAGATTGCAGGCTCCCGAAGTACGAACGAGACTACCGTCTCGCGTTCTAGTCGCCGAGTACGCTTTCGCGACTAACCGTGCAATCAACAACGGATACGGTGTCAGACTATTCCTATACTACATGCATCCTACACTTTCTCTCTTTTCTTTTGATTTTTTTTTGTATCCTGAGCCCACGCCTCCGATCATCACCCGTTTGTTACCGTCGACTTCAGTCAACCTGGTCTGGCCACCCACGCTCTTGTCAACGCACTCAGTCGATGTTCAGGTTTCGAATCTGCCTGGCCTATATTTGGTTTTGCACTTGGTTGTTATGGTCGCTTCTGGTTCCTTGGCTCAACGCGGTTTCGTCCTACGTCTGCAGCGTTTCTGGTCCGAACGCCTACGAACGCAATCTTCAGGCCTTGGATATAAACCACTCTGGTGTGGTATACTAACTCGAGCAACAAATACAGCATGCTTCTCCTGGTACCGTTCTACGTAAAAGACCTTCGTTGGCAACTCGAGGATCAACGATCGCTTCCTGTTTCGCCAATCCTTCCGTTCTAACTCTTAAAATCTTCACAAAATATATTAATTAAATATTCAATAAATCTATTTGACAAACTTGATCAACATTAAAGTACATTTGATTTAATTTTAGATACCCGATGAAAAGCTGGCAGAAGGATTCTGACACGGGTTTGAATAGTCATTAATAGCCATTAAGTAAGTGAATTGATAATTTTGTACAAACTGATGCACCTACAGGGATTTGAATAAAAGTTACCACCTACCAGTACAAAATAAGATAGCATCACTAAGTTGTTAAAGTTATATGTTTGGATGGCTATAAAACTAGAATATAGAGATGTATTTCGTTTTGTCTAGCTTAAGGGCCAAAAAATATTCTACGATTTATTGCAAATCTATATTAAATGATATTTGGTGTCCGCATTGTATAGATTTTAGCTGGAATTTTGTTTGGTTGGAGTTAAACATTGATATAATTACTGTGGTAGATGATTTAGCGATTGAATGTCAAACATGTTGAAGGTAATAGGTCTTTATACTAAGACAGAGCATTTCAATTCCAATTAGATGAACAATGTGGGTTATTATTTAAAATTTGGACAGGCAGCAATCCACAGAATTCATCACAACAAAGATGAGGATGAAGATCGTTTCGTTTCACGACCGATTTCCAAAACCTTTCCAAATAATTTAGCCAGTCCGGCACTATCTTTATAAAGAGCCCAGTATTTTTATAGCATCATACAAAGCGACCAGTGCTCATGCACACCTGCCGGTGAGCTGGTAGTTAGCAGTGAACCTAATTCGGTTCAATTTTTGATTATAGCAAAATCTGCAGGTAAATTGTTTGTTGCAATTCGTTTAGGACAATAAGTGTTGTGACTTTATGTCCGGCCAATTATCACGTTATTTATCCATCAATAGAAATACGACTTATACAATCTTTACACTGTGTTAAACCAATGACGTTCGACCGGTATGAGTAGCCTTGAGTCCAGAACACCAATACTAGCTTCCACTATGCGAATCGAATAAAATCATTTATTTCAGACATACTGGGTTTATGTCAGACAAACAGACCGCAACGCACCATAAAATGGGAAATAACATTCATACACAATAAGGCCAAAAACAGTATGAACGTGGGATGCAGTAGTCAATAAACTGCGCATAGCTTAAGAACAGTAAATCGTACAATAATAAATTATAGGTCAAAATAAAGCTTATAACAAGGGGAATATAGATATACATAATCTAGTTACTGAATATTTATACCATGAGAATATATAAATAATATTAATCCATTAATAGATCTCAGACGTTACTTGTAATGTAATCTTCACTAGGATATAACAATAAGCTTATTAGACACTGGAACTCAATATAAGCTTGATGGAAATCAGATCATAGTCACTGTCAGGATAGGGGTCCCAAAGCAAGCACGTCTTGTACACAATCATGTCATTGGTAACTGATCGCAGTGTGACCAATTCCAATCCAGGCTTGATGTAAAGAGGAAGGATGTCAGGTAGAACATTAGTGGTGACCTGCGAAAGTTGGTACTGGTTTGAAAAAGGATATGGTCTACGCAAAGCTGGAAGATGCAGTTATTGTTATTTGACCTACGTCTCCACTGACCACCTAAACGAATTTCCTCTATGCGTAGACACCTGACCTGCATATTCAAAGCTTATTCTAGAACTACAACATGTCGAACTCGCTTATCCGATGTCTTTTAATTGGTGGTAGAATTCATCCATAATTGGATCTAGACTTGAAACTTGCAGCATACGCGAAGATTAGGAAAAGACAATATTTACAGAGTCACATTTTTTCGCCTTGGCAGAGCCTTCCAACCTAACGGCAATAAAAAGAATGTTCATGGGGATTCAATTGATTTTTGTCCCCTAAGTACTGGCCCTTAGGGTGAAATTCAGTTAACAGATCAAAGAACAATCTTCTTTTAAAGCTTACTTGTTGGGTAGGTATGTTATTCCAATTAAATTCAACCATTCATGTGGAATATATGCCCAAATTACATACAATACTGAAATCGTATAAAATAGCACAAAACAAAAATTATGATTTTCTGGGTCATGGATATAAACTAACAATTAACAGAGATTATGACGTCACGTTTAAAAGCAATAACAGGTACTACAATCTAAGCAAAATAAATACATAAGTTACATCATCTGAGACTAAACCTCAGAAACACGAGTTAGTAAATTTATAGCGACTGAGATCAGTATGCTAAGCTACAGAATCAAGCAATCCAAATGTCAGAATAATAGTACACTGGTTAAATTAACGATAGCTAGTAAAATTATAGGATAGTAGCATAGATGTAAAACTAACGGCAGTATTAAAAAATAAGAAATTAGGAAGAAAAGATAAAGGAATTTTAGGCACAGAATAAAAAGATGGATTACTGGAGTGATATAAAAAACATTTATTTTTATGCCTGAGATTGGCTTAGATACATATCATTCAATATTACCAATCACGTGTACTCAAGTCCGAAAGCCTACTTCTGGGCTAAAAAGCTTAGATTTAACTTCAATAACTCTACAAAGTGATGTCGTGTTTTAACCTGAACAATGATTGGCAGCATCCAAAATACTTGTACTTCAGAGATCACAACAATGAGGTATCTTAATACTCATAACACAAACCGTCGTAGCTGATGGGGATTCATGATCTCATTAGCCAACCTACACAATATACCTGACGTCAACGCAGCTTACTATATAATTTGATTATACACAAAAATGAAGAACACAGACCATTTGTTCTACGGAATCAATTGTAAATCATGACCCGTGAAAGTATAATACATCCATAGGTTGTGATAATTTGGTTAGCATAGCTTGTGTATGGTGAAACCATCTAATGAGCAATGCTGTTATTAAACATAGGGTTTTAGGTATAAAGAAAAACAAGAAACTAACTGATGTTTTAAAATTAAGTCAATTTAGGTACATAGAACATATATTAGCATGCAAAACACCTATGCAGACGCTCATCACTCTCCACCATAGGATAAATTTAGGAAAAAGTTAAACTTTGACTTTGTTTTCGGTGTTGAAACGCAGCATAACTACTTGGACAGATATAAATCTAGTCTAGATCTTACGTTATCTAAGAATGACTGACGTACGTTAATTAATACAACTAGGTCTAGATTTTGTTACTTTATTTTATGTAAGGCTGAAGAGGTCATGAATTTGTCACATTCAGTGACTGGTTGCAAACGAAATCTAATTTTATCATAGTGATAGTAGTGAAGCAAACCATTTAGACTAACGAACCGATTATTATTATTATTATTATTATTATTATTATTATTATTATTATTATTATTATTATTATTTGAACACATAGATATTCGTACAAGGAGGCACCAAATACATATGAACCACACAAATCTCATTTGAATTATGTGAGGGCTGTGATACTGCTCGGGTGCCCAAACCGAAGCAGGTGGCTTTCTTAGGGGGCCATACCGGGAGCCTTTAACACAATGGTCTGATCCACGAGGCAGTGGAGCATCGTAGACGGTGACCAACAATTGGTTCATACGCCATTTGTTCGATTTCGTAATCACCAGTAATGCAGCGAGAAGGCAGTAAGTAGGACTTCCCTGAATGTGGTTGTATGCACGTGGCCATGTGAGAGCATTCTGAGAGGGCGAGCGGACTCTCCCCACTCTCAGCCGTACCAGGGCATTTGGGGGCAACAAACTGATACCATAATATGAAGAAACTGGTGGTCGAACCTTAAACAATTATTATAAAATAGATTGACATTTATTTGAATAAAGTTCGTGTACGTTTATAATGGTCAATACGATGGTGATTGCTATAGTGACACGAAATATCCTTTTAGAACATAAATGTACGCGTATAGTATATAGTAGTACCAAAAAAAGTAGTAACAAGCAACGAAATGCACGGTTCATTTGCTGGAAATTGAAAGCGATGACTCACCAAATGCAGGAAAACATACAAGATATATAATGAAGCCATAAATTGCCCTTTCATCTAAGTGCTCACGATTGGGATGAATATAGGGAATAGCGATTGAAGGTTTCGTTTTTCGGACATGATCCATCGATCGAACACATGTGACAGGCACAATAACTTGAGCAGAAATCTAAAATGACCAGAAATCAGGACAGAAGTCAATAATATATTTTACTATGGAACTAATTAGTCAGTCACAACCACCGTAGACAACGATTCGTTGCATCCAAGTTACTGCCACCAATTTTAAGTCGAACCCATTTCTGACCACTAGTCGAAGTTATCTCATGGTGGTCAAAACCTACTAGCACATCCTAGGCCATTATTTTGTAGTTTGAATCATACTTGATAAGGCATCACATCTGTAAAGTTGTAGTGAACCTAGAGTTGATAATGACACATCCTCAGTATTGGGTTTTAGAGGTTGTTGAGTTTTTATTGAGATCATGAGTCCATCAATGTCAGACCATTATTGAAAACCTGGGAGCAGTGAACGGCCGTTTCGCCCTAGTGTGACTCCTAAACGGTGAGCACCTATGGTCCCGCATAGAAACGCTTAACCTCTAGACAACTGAGCCGGCATCCAGTCGTGTTAATGTCTCACTTCAACCAATTTACGATATTGCGCGACCATATTCCATTGTCTTCGATGGGTGACTGCCTCACACCTGAACTCTACTGGTCATTTCTTCTCACTAGAACTCCGAGAACTACCTCTTAAAGCTAGTCGATAGTGAGCACATTAAAATTATTAGTATGGGGTTGTGGAGACTTCTAGTTTTTATTGAGATCATTGATCGATTCAAGACCTCAATAAAGAAATTATTTTGCTAATACATGTCATATCTTTGTGTTGTCCACCTAGTCTTAGTGTTAACAAACTGTGATCAGTATGAAAGCCGTTTTGTAAAACATGCTTAATCCACTGAAAACGGTGTTTTGAATAGTAGCCCCTACTGAAGTATAATATCCAGCATTTTTAAAAACCGTCGGGCTTTTTTATTGCTGAATGTATAAAACCATTGGAAAAAAAGACGACTGAGCAGATCCTCTGACTAACCTCAGCCCAAAGATACCAGGCTTTACAATTAATTATAGAATTGTTTGAGCAACAGTTTATGAACACTATATTTTGCTATATTAAAATAGGTACCCTTGTGATGTGTATTACTTGTGGGGAAACTGAACCATTTTGACGTGTATTTAAGCTAATGTACGATAGTGCATGGTAAACAACCTGATGTAAACTCGTAAGAAAAAGACTAGTCAGATTGAGGTCATTTAGGGACCATAATGTTTGGCGTCAATGAAAGGGAAGATCAGAATCCTTGGATCGATATAAGCGACAACTGATATGTTAAATCCAACAAATCCCTTCTTAAAAAATTCCTCAGCATCTTTTGAAGGGTGGCGAAAATTCGGTGAACCGTCTACTATATTCACACCAAACTTTCTTAGGAAATATCCCAATATTTCGTCAAAGTCCAGCTTCGTTTTTTTATTTTTGTTTGCACGCGTTTGCACCGCGGTGCCGGTTTGAGGAATAACAATGAATGGTTACTGAGTACCTGTACTCCTGAAAACAAAATAACTGATTAGTTATCAAATCCTTATAATAGCACTTTAAAGTAAACGCTGTTTGATACAGAACAATTAGACTTATTATATTTGTGCGAGACGTATCGCACCTTTTGTGACACTCGCTGGTGTCCAATGGTTCAAGTGGCTCTGAACAAAATGAAAGCTTTCGCTTAAAGGGCTTCCATATTTGGTAGAAGTGGACCAACAATGTCCTCAGGTAATAACTTAGGTGTACTGTTGATAAAAGAGACGAAAAACTGGCAAATTATAGAAAAATACTGTCCTTCGACATTATGATTATGTCAGGTTTTCTCTCAAAAAACTCCTGGTATATCTCTTGGACTAGCTCAGTCGGCAGTGGGTCCCGGAATTCAACTACTCTTAAGGAGTAGAATGTATGTCTACGGTCTATTCGGCCGTGTTGTGTCTGCAGTTTCTGGCCGCTAGCCCTAGATTTTGTGTTGCGACTAAGCTTAGTTAGGTGTTAAAGAGGATGCTTAAAAGTGTTTAGGATGCTACAGGTCATTAGAAAGGCACTCTAATGGATAACAGTTCCGTGATTGTGGGCGCTCTTCACAAGACTTGAATTTGAGTTTGTGAACTGATTTCGTCTGTCGTCGTTGTACATGTTTTAGAGTATTCTTATCCTTTTGGAGTGAGGAGAAATACTGTTTCCATGCTTTATACAGGGTCGAATAAGACTTTTGGAGATTAATTGGAAAGTTTTTCCTGTCAAAATGGCCGAAAATGTTCGTCAATTTTATGAATGCCTGGTTTTCTTGAAAGCATTGTTGTTGCAGTCATCGTGAAACTTCATATCATAGTATACCAACACTCCCATATCTTCAACTTGGAGTGCCTCTAAAGATTGTGTTTGTAATCGTGGATGCGTACTGCTGAGGAGTCCCATACTAGGACGAAACGGCCGTCCAGTGCTTCCAGGTTTTCAATAGTGGTCTAGCTTCAACTGACTCATGATTTCAACTTGTGAAATTTACTAAAATCTCCACAAAACTCATTCTGATAATAATCATCTGCTCACTAGTGACTGACTTCAGGAGAACCTTCTGGAGTTCTAGTGAGAAGCCGTCACCAGTGGAGTTCAACCAGGTCTGTTGTGAGATATCAGCTCACTGAAGACATTGGTGTTCGATGGCGCAACTTCGTGAATTGGTTGAAGTTAGACATTAACACCGTTGGATGCCGGCTCAGTGGTCTAATGGTTAAGTGCTCGCGCGCGAAGCCAGTAGGTCCTGGGTTCGAGCCCCGCGCGGTGCGGGATCGTGAATGCGTACTGCTGAGGAGTCCCATACTAGGACGAAACGGCCGTCCAGTGCTTCCAGGTTTTCAATGGTGGTCTAGCTTCAACTGACTCATGATTTCAACTTGTGAAATCTGAAAAATGTCTCAGGTGGACTACTTTACACTTTGAGTTGTTAAAGGTAGGTTCGTTATCGTCTGCCCAACTTTGAAATCGAGTCAGATGCTCTTGAAGTACCAATATATCCTTTTGGTCGCATACTTCACGCCAGTGAAAAATAAACAAATCTGACGGAAGATCGTTTAAATAAATCAAGAAAAGAAGAGGTTCCAGTAATGAACCCTGGGGGACTCCACTACTACATATCAAACCCGAGAGAAAGTGAAGCTAACTTCAACCTCAAAATGTCGATTATTTAATTATCAAGTGAGCCAATCAATTAAAGGTAATCTGATACCTATTCATTCGAGCTTATTGGTATAATAAATAAGGCCGACTCTATCAAAGCTTTTGAGGAGTCAACATTTGTGACATCTACCTTCTCCTTGAGATCAAGGATGGCTGTCCATCTGTCCACTTCAGTCAGTAGGTTGATCATACACGAGTGACCTTTTTTAAAACCGTGACGGGGTGAGAAGTTTATAGGTAGTAGATAGTCACGTAGACCACTACATATCAAAGACTGCACAACTTTTGAGGGTGTAAAGAGATGTTTGCCGCATCGACCTTCTTTGAAAGTTGGTATGATATTGTAGTGACTCACTTTTATCACGAGAACACGATTGGTTTATTGAAAACAATTATTAATATAATCATTTGTACCCGTGCTTGTTTAATGTGCTCTTTGTTTAACTGTGCTAATGACAGCTATATTACGTTTCCATTATTATTCTTACACTTTGATTGTGACCTCGCGCGAATTCGGTTACGCTCTGTAACCAATCTTGTATCCTGGCACGATCTCGGTATTCTTTCAATACCACGAGATCGCCAGCATATATACTTGGTCCATTAACTGCCTTCTGATATTTGACTTCCGGAGGATTTTATGGATTTATTTGGCACGTGTTTCTCTCTAGTGGTGTTCATAGTCAATTTCGACTCGACGCCACGCTACAATATGAGCCAGCCTCCAATTTTCCAGTAATTTACCTCGGCTTAGCGAATGTGATAATATCACGTTAAGCAGTGTTGCCCAGATTCAAACTGCCTCCCTCAGTATAGTAGAGTGAACCATATCCGGGCTAGAAGTGTCCGTTTATAAGTGCTGCAGTTTCCATCTCACCAAATTAGCGCCCAGATTCACTTTTCGGAGTCCTGTTGAGTGGCAGGTTAATGTCCTCATCAGTATGTTTAGTACGGGTCATTTGAAATGTCCGAAAGTGCTGTCTAGCCAGAAGACCGGTGACGTAATCGTCGTTGTTGTTTGGTTGTAGAGTCTAGGAAACTTAGATTTTGGCTCGTCGAAGAGAGGCTGCATGTCGGAATAAGCTTTCGAGATTGGAGACAAACTTATCGTTAGGTTTTTATCTGACAATGAAGCCTGTCTCTTATTGCCTTTGTGTATATGTTCCTTATTAATCTGAATTGCCTATATGCGCCGTTTTTACCAGATCGTTTTTATTTCGCCTAGCAGTGCCTCTTGCAAATTAGCAAACAAAAAGTGCGGTTCTTGATGACTGTAGATTGCTCGTAGATTTTGAGGACCGTTAGCGGGACAGACTGTCTTTTAGTATATACAAATGTGTGCAGTAAGAAATCCCAATGAGCAGCCACATCAAGTTGAGCGTGAATTTCCCAGTCCGCCTACTGTAGATTGTCCTGTAAAGCTGACACATCCAACTGTTTGGAATCCCAACCTCTGTTGTTGGTAGGAAATCCTAACTCGGTTTTACAGTTTCTAGGCTGTAATGAAGGTAAGGAAAACGATATACAGACGGTAATTCATGAGTAATACATGATTGTGTGAGCTTCGCCTCGAAGTTGTCCACCATGATGATCGTCGTCCCCGAAGTCTAGGAAGTATTCGGGATGAAGAAAACTTGTCATAAAAACGAAGAATTTGTTTGTATTTTCACTTTTGAATTTTTCTGATGACAACTTGCAGAGTGCAGCAAATTAGGAAGTTCGTGTTGTATGACAGCGTATCTAGCACGTTACGCATTCTCATCAAATCATTACTTGTTTTCCTGCAGCCCAGCGAGAAAAACCACTTTCGTAAAAGCAAACTTCAAAGAATTTGCTACTCAGCTTTATTAGTCTTTTATCTCTGCACATGTTCTTAGTAATTTGTATCTATTTTTAAAGAAAGGCAGTGTGCATTCATGAACACACCAGCAAACGAATCCGGAACCTCCGAGTCTGTGGAGAAAATGTCCAGACTTCTAGAGAGATATCTTACCTATCGGCATGCAAACATATCAGGTGAAGCAGTTTCCCACCAAAGATTATAAAAAACGGTTGGTAAGTATTCCTGACCGATTGAAGTTAAACGTGTTGATCATTGTATGGTGGCTCAATAGCCTAAAGTCTAGGTGGCCATCGAGAGGGCTAATAATCTTGAATTATACTTGGGTTACTGAATGCTCACTGTTAAAACTTTATATTTCAGAGCTAAACAGCTGTCAAGTACCTCTTGGTTTCCGACAATTTCCTTACTCCTGTCGATTTGTGATCTCTATAACATTCAACAATCTCTGAAACCCCACACGATATCATTAAGTCTACCGTTTTAGCAAAATCTATACTACGTTTTACATGAGGTGACACTGATAGCTATCAGCAAGCGAATAAATTCAATACTTTCTGGGGGAGCCGCAAGGTTACAGTAGTTTCCAAAATATTGCTCTGTCATACTCTTTCAGTCGCTTTAATTTTTCACACTACTACGAGTTTTAGTTTTTGTGAACTTGAAACAAGAACCATCGAATACCAAATAAATGATTACGAATAATGTTCGTTTTTTAGACGGTGGGGAAAATTTGTTGCTCAGGTGGATGATTTTGATGAAGTTTTGTTCTCTGAACCGGATGGTTTGGTCGTGGATCCTTGATCGTTCTTCTGGACTACATCATCAGCACATACATCAGGTAACGTCCACGAGTATCTCAGAATTCACTTGCAATATAGTGAGAGGCAGTGAACGAGAGCGTCCTTCATAAAAATTTGGATTCGCGTACAGGTTGATTTCCAACAGGGCACATGGTATTCAATAAAAAAAGGAAATTGGTAAAAGTGCGCATACATGGTACATATTTGTAGTAATTTGCTTCAAGCATGGTCAAACTAACCAGTGTACGTGATTGTAGGATCCAAACTACGGTTTGGATGGTGAAGAATAGCCTTCCGGGGACTTTAGACACGCGCCCTTTCCCGTCGAAATCAAAACAAGTAATCGGGTAAATAGCGGTTCTATAATTCATCATAAATTTATAGGTAAATCGTTACCTAAATCAATATTACCACCCGGCTATTCAACCAATAATTGTTCAATCAATCAAATCTAAATTACAATAAATAAAGAAGTTGATAAAAGATGAGGGAAAATTACCAGTCACAACAGATGAACGTTATTCTATCCTGACTGGATAGAACACACACAAAAGGAGGAGCAAACCAATATGGCTACCGCCAAGAACAAGTGTCAAGTAAAACAACACAGATGCAGTTCAGGAAGAAACACAAACTTAGTGAATGCGTAAGAAAAACAAAAACTATAATAAAAAATACAAGTATTAACAAATCAAATGTAATCAAAAGACAACAGTGTACAACTAAGGGGATCAATAGGAACAAAGTACAAGTATATACATGGAGGGATTTTCACCAACACACAAAACATTCAAAATGGATCTTACACCGGCCCCCAAAATCCCTCC